GCTTCAGGCATGGCCAAATATCTCTTAGGGCTACAAAACTGCCCCAGTTGGGAACTGGTGAGAGCAGAAGAGCTAGCTGGGAAGGACAGGCTGGGAACTGGGCAGGGAGGAGGGGTCCAGGCTGGGTCCCACGAGCTCCCCTCCTCCCTCCTTTTTGGCCAGACTCCTCTCCTCTGTCTGTTCCTGAGGTTCAGGGGTCCTGGGGGCTGTGTCCATAGCCCTTTCCCACTTTCTTCACACTTCCCTGGGAGAAGAGCTGACTTTGCTCAGATCCTTCCAATCCCAGCAGAGCCCTGGACTCCTTGTCCTGCTGTGTCCTGGGACCCCTCTGCCTGGAGCCTGCCAGGCTCTGCAAATCCAAAGTGGCTTTAATTACCATTTCTCCTTCCCTGCCCCCAGAGTCCATATCCTGACACCCTGTGACACCTGGGAGTCTGCCCGTTTTCCCTCCTTCCCCTCTCTCTTCTACACTTGTCACTTTGGTCTCTTAAATGTTCCATCCTCCCCACTCCCAGAGCCAGCTTCCCTTGACACCACTGCAGCCTCCACCCCGGTCTTTCCCTCACCAGTCTCCCCCTCCTACTGCAGCCAGAGATCCTTCCAAACACCACTGCCCATGACACACTCACTCTTTCCCTTGCCCCAGAGGACTGCTCCCTCTCCTGCTGGGTCTCCTGTGTGAACCTGGCTCCCAGCGCCTCCAGTACCCAGACACCCACCTACCTCTCTTGCACAAGCTGTTCTGTTGGACTGGCTGCACCCTATGGGTCCTGTGGAAATCCCACTCATCCACAAAGCCCAGCTCCTGACCCAACTCTGGGAAGTCTTCCCCCTCCAGCCCCCCTGTCCTTGCCAAGGTTCTGCCTTCCTCTTGTCCCGGAAGGACATTTCAAAGCTGGAGGGTGAACCTGTGCCCACCCAGAAGCCCCGTTTGTGAGCCTGAGATGAAAATTTTCAGTCACACACCATTTTTTAGATGAGGGCAATAGCCATGCCCTGGGTGACTGGTGTCTTCACTGTCCTGGCCTCTCCTTCCTCACTGGCCTCCTACCTCACAGGTGGCCCTTTTTGGTCTACTTTGCCTGCCTTTGCTTCATGCTCACCTTCTCACCTCAAGTCCCAGCCCCTCCTACATCCCCTCTGGTGCTCTTATACCTTTGATCTCCCCTCCACTGCTGCCACCTGTGCCAAGCTACCGTTATCTCTCACCTCCATGCCTGAAACAGCTGCATCCTGCTTCTACTCGTGCCCTCTGTGGCCAGAGTTGACTGTGGGTGGGATCGTGTACCTCTTCTGCTCACTCAGAACTCCCCATGGCTCCCGACTCACTCAGAGTGAAAGTCAAAGTCCCACAAAATCCTACTCCTTACTTATCCATCTCTGTCCCCTTTTTTTTTTTGTGTGTGATGGGTTTTTTCCAGATAGGGTCTCATGAACTATTTGCCTGGGTTGGCTTTGAACCTCAATCCTCCTGATCTCTGTCTCCTGAGTAGCTAGGATCACAGGCGTGAGCCACCTGCATGCGGTTTCCCTGTCTCGTTTTAAAACTCCTCTCTTCCCATTGCCCTCCTTGACTCGGCCATTCTGCGTATTCTTACCACAGGGCCTTTGCACTAGCTGCTTCCTATGTGTGGAAGGTTCTTTCTCTAAAATTAAGAATGGTTCCTCCTCATCTCCTTCAATTCTTTACTTAAATTAATGTCTGCCTCTTAATGAGGCTTCTGGAACCACCCTATTGAAAATTGCAAACCACCTCCACTCTTCCTGTACTGGGCCTAGACTCCTCACCCTGTTCTACTTGTTTCTTTGCAATCATTACTTTTCAATGTATATAATTTAGTTCTTCATTATTTATTTATTTATTTATGCCTATCCCTCGTCTCACTAGAATGCCAGCTCCCAGGGCAGAGATACCCTCTCTCATCCATTGCCCCATCCCAGTTCTAATCCCATAGTAAGCAAGCGTCTTGCCAAGGTGGGCAAAGGAAGGGGCACTGGCTTGGGAGTCTGCCGCCCTGGTGGAATCAAGCCTTCTAAGCTTCTGTCGGTGTCATGCAGGAGTCACACGTCAAGGGCGCAATAAATGCCGGTTACCCCCTCCCCCATTCGGGAGAATATGATCCTAGTATTCTGATGAGACTTATACTTTTGCATACAGGATTTCATGTCACCCTCAACTAACCCCAGAGGCAAGCAGAGTCCCTTTTTGCCCAGGGAAGAAGCTGAAATCGTCCCCAGCGCAGGCGGTGGCTCAGGAGGGTCTTGGGCGGGGGTGGCACGGGGACTACATTTCCCAGGAGCGGTGCCCGTAACGCCGCTGCTGCCGCGTTTTTAAAGGGCCTTGCGTTAAAGCGGGGGTGAGGGTATGCGGTGTATCCGCAGGGAAACGGCGCGGTGCTGCGGCGGAGCCAGGTCGGGCCCCTCGCGCCCCACAGTGTCCGCGAGGCGAGGCGAGGCCAGGCGAGGCCACGCCAGTCTGGAGGGAGGAAGCCTTTCCTCATCTTGCCCCCCTCGGTCTCCGCCTCTGCACCCAACTCTTTCTAGCTCCCCAGAACAGGGGGAAGGGTGGTGAATCCCGCCGTCCGCGGGAGAAGGGGTCCACCGACTGGAAATCCCGCTTACCTGAGGAGACCTCTCCCCCAATTCTGGCTGCAGTTCGGGGAGAGACTTCACAGGTCTGGGATGGGTGGGGATGAGATGTGAGGGCAACAAAATGAAATGAAGGGGAGCTGAGTCACACAATACACCCCCCATACTTTCCTTCCAAGCCCTGCGATCTCCATGGCAAATGGGGGTGATGGGACGGTGATCACATTACCTACCTCCCAGGTGGGAGGCTTACAGGACCAAGAAACCGGGGAAGAGCACTTTGCAAACTGCAATTGCCCTGTGAGAATAAGAATTTTCAACAACCAAGCCATGGATTCATCCAGTCCTATTCTAAGGCACACACGGATGTGGGGCTGGAGTGACAAGTCTCTGGGGAAAGCAGGGTGGATGTAGGGGTGTGTGTTTTCCCCATCCAGATCTTGGTGGGAACCGGGAGAACTGTCTTTGGAAATGACCAAAACAAACATACCCGAGTGTTGTGTTTTCAAATCAGGAAAAAACTTTGGGGCAACTGACATCATCGAAATATGAAAGAACCTTGGCCTTTGAACTAACCTGGCCCTCCATTGCTTCGCTGCCCTGCCTGTGACAGCGAGATAAGCCAGAGGAGAAGGCATCTGACACCAGGTCTTGGTTCTCTCCTCCCCCTCCCCCCATCATTTGGATTAATCCATCCCTTGGTGTATGGGGGGAAGGGAGGAGGACGACTCACTAATTTGCCCTGGCCTCAGAGACTCCCAGGTCCAGTAGGCGTCTTCCCGACACCTCCCCCAAGCACGATCTCCCCCTGCCAACCCCCCTCCCCCGCTCCTCTGCAGGACTGTGTCTGCAAACAGCTCCCGGGCCCTATCAGAGAGTCATCATTTTCATCAGCTACAACCCCCCACTCCCAGGGTATTGTCTAATTAAAGAGTGCCAGGCCTTTTTGCTAAGGGAATAAAGGAGGGTTTGTAGAGGAAGAGGACCCAGGACAGCAAGCATCCTAGCCCAGGGCTGCTGCCAAGCGGACCTGACACGCGAATAGGACATCGGCTGCAGACAAGGAGTCCTAGTGTCTTCAGGGTCCCTTCTGTTGTCCTCTGAGCCCCTAAAGCCCCTCCAAGCCTCCGGACTCCCTACAGATCTAGGCACTCCTACTCCAATTCGTCTATACCGGCCAGGCAGAACGGAAAAGATGTGTACATTTGAACAAAGACATTGCCTCTTCCCAAAATGGCGGTGGTCCCGGCCACGGCTCCCGGACAACCGCGCACTTCTCGAGTTTTAGTCACAACCTGAGGAACGTGACCCCCTTCTCGAGCTCCCCTCCAGCGCCCCGTTTCCCCAAGTCTCTAAAGCATCCAGGGCCTCGTCTCATCGTAGGGGCCCCAGGACCATCTCAGGTTAGAGCCTTTGGGGCAGCTCCTGCATTGCAGAACGCCGACCCCCACCCCGACTAAGGGGTCCTGGGAAGAGGGGGCCTGGACCCCCAGGCTGGGCATTCAGGGTGGGAGGCAGTGAGCTCTGCTTAGCACCCCCCAAAAAACCCAGGCTGAAGGAGACATATAAATGAACTGGTTAGGATAGATGGGAGATGTCGGGGGTCTTGGAGGAGCGCAGACCACCCTGGAGTCCCCTCCCCATCTCTCTGGGGACCCAGACAGTATTTGGGAGTTCGGCCTCAGGGGGGAACCTCGACACGGAGGTCGGGGGGCGCGCTAGGGGAGAGGCAACTCAGGAGGGGGAAGGGACAAAGTTTGAAAGTGCCCTTCCAACTCTTCTAGGGAAAGTTTTCTTGGGGGCCCCATGGGCAGAGACGGGTTAGGGGTGCGGGGGGGCCGGTGGCGGGGTGACCCCTGAGAAGTGACCGGACCCTGGGGGAGCGACCCCTCCCCCCTGTCCCGTTTCGGCCCGGCTGGGAGTCGCCCAGCTCGGGGCCGCGTGTGTTAGTTGGGGCTGCTTTTCAGCCGCGCCGCCGGGTTGGGGGGCCTCGCAGCGGGCCGAGAGCCCGGCCCCTGGTTGCCCCAGGGGGGAGCTTTGCTACAGGGGGTTTCCCACCCCGGGGCTCCCCGGCGCGGCAGAGCCAGCCCCCCGCAAAGGGGAAATGTGCCGGCACCCCAGCGGTCCTCGGCGCCGTTTGGGGCGCGTGGCGAGCGCTGGGGGCAGCGGCCCGGCCGGCGGGTGACCCAGCGGGGAAGCCCAGGGAGCTGGGCAGCGGCCCCGAGCGCCGGCGGGGTGCGGGAAGGCCCAGGCAGGGGGAAAAGGTCGGATTTGCTCGGCGGAAGAAACACAGATGGCGGCGGCGCGGCGCCATTCCGGGCCGGGAGCAGGCAGCCAGCAGCCCTGTCCTCACCGCGGTCCGCCCGCCGCCGCTAAATACCCGGATGCGCCGCCCGAGCGCCAGACGCGAAGCTGGGAAAAGGGAGGCAGAGGAGGCGGAGGCAGAGCCCGAGCCAGGCGCCGAGAGCCAGCGGCGGACCGGCGGCGCGAGCCCTCCTGCAACCCGCGCCGGGGCCCAGAGGCAGTGGCTCCTCGCCCGCACCCCGGCCTGGCCTGGTAGTCAGGGGCCCGAGAGCCGCCTCCGACGAGGGCTGGCCCTTTGGAAGGCGCCTTCAGCAGCAGGACCAGGCAGGCCACCATGACCGAGAACTCCACGTCCACTCCTGCGGCCAAGCCCAAGCGGGCCAAGGCCTCCAAGAAGTCCACAGACCACCCCAAGTATTCAGACATGATCGTGGCGGCCATCCAGGCGGAGAAGAACCGCGCGGGCTCCTCGCGCCAGTCCATCCAGAAGTACATCAAAAGCCACTACAAGGTGGGTGAGAACGCCGACTCCCAGATCAAGTTGTCCATCAAGCGCCTGGTGACCACCGGTGTCCTCAAGCAAACCAAAGGGGTGGGGGCCTCGGGCTCCTTCCGGCTGGCCAAGAGCGACGAACCCAAGAGGTCAGTGGCCTTCAAGAAGACCAAGAAGGAAGTCAAGAAGGTGGCCACTCCAAAGAAGGCAGCCAAACCCAAGAAGGCTGCCTCCAAAGCCCCAAGCAAGAAGCCCAAAGCCACCCCAGTCAAGAAGGCTAAGAAGAAGACGGCTGCCACGCCCAAGAAAGCCAAAAAACCCAAGGTTGTTAAAGCCAAGCCCGTCAAGGCATCTAAACCCAAGAAGGCCAAACCAGTGAAGCCCAAAGCCAAGTCCAGTGCCAAAAGGGCGGGCAAGAAGAAGTGACAATGAAACCTTTCCCCCCCTCTTCTATTTTCTGTAAATACTTTTCTCCTTTCTTCTCTCTTGATCCTCATCTGCAGCCCTTTGCCCATCCTGGTCTGACTTTATAAGGGACAGATTTGGATTCCTCAGAAATCATGGAATAATTCCTTTTTCCCTAACCAGTTGTGCAAGGACAGCAGCCACCGATCTCATCTGCACAAGGATGAGGATGCACTTGGACTTCGTCTTCTCGATTTGCCATTCATTTTAGGGATTGGGATCTGGGTGGGCTCTGTTTTGTTGGGTGGCTTGTTTGCTGTGAAGGTAGATGGGGAGGAAATTGGGCAAGGCTGTACTTTCTGCTGACTGAGGGGCCCAGGAGCTAAGGATGGGAGGATCTTTAGGGCTTTCTTTAAGTTGGGCACCCATGGAATTTCAGAGCCCTTCTTGGTGGGTGAGCAGTGGGGGTCTAGGCCTTCCTTCTCACTCTGTTGTTTGCCCTTTGGCCCACTGTTGTTTTAGGGAGGGTTGGGGATCTGAGTGACAGCTGGATGGAGAAGCTGTAGCTTCTCCCAGTCAGTGGGAACTAGCCATTGGGGGGTGGGGAGGATCTTTGTGGTTTGGGCAGTCTCTTTATTAAATGGGAGTGGAAATTTTAGGGGAAGGGTGAGGAGTCAGCGAAGTGCCTCAGTGTACCCTTTTAAACTTGGGTTTTTCCACACAATTGACAGATTGTGTCCAGGAGGACTTTTTCTTTCTCCTTGTTTTTTTTTTGTGCCTCCTGTTTTAAGATGCGGCTTTGCTTGGTTTGATCTGGTGCGGCTTCAGTCCCACACCAGCCTCTTAAAAGCCTCTCACCTCTTTACTTGTGAGTCTTTCTAGGGGGTGTTGCAGTAAGACTCGCTGCAGTTGCTCTGGGTTTGCTAAGTAGCGTAGAGAGCTAGGTCTGATGCATGCGTGTGTATATGTATATATGCCTATCTAGGGCTAGTCCTTATGCCTCGCCAGGAGCTGGGAGAAAAAAAATGTACAGTTGTCTTTCTCTTATTTTTAATAGGAAAATCGCGCACTTGCGCCCCCTCCCCCTTTTAAACAAGTGTTATTTGTGCCGGGAAAATTTTGCTGTCTTTGTAATTTTAAAACTTTAAAATAAAATTGAAAATGGAAAAAAACCTGAGCGGTGTGTTTTTCCTCACTTTAAGACCCGAGGAGAGTGCGGAGCAGTTGGGCAGACAGACAGTGGGGGACATCTGGGGCCAGGTTCGCACCTGAGAATGGAGGAAATCCTTAGGGTGCAGAACGAGACTCTCAAAGCTCCTGCCTTTGGTGTCCAGAGGGCACCCCCTTTTCCTTCCAAAAGGTGTGTGTGTGTAGGAGGTGCTGGGAATGAGATGGGGAGGGCCCTGACGCGACTTCCCCCGCCCCCTCGTCTTCCCCGGCACGCACCTCTCCAGTCTCGATTTACAAATCTCTTTCGTCCTTGGCGGATAGCGCCAGGCCCCGCCCGCCGGGCCCCGGCCCTCCTGCCCCACCCCTTTAAGTGAGCTCCTCTCACCCTGATTGGCTGCCGGGGCCCGGCCCTCGCCACGTGACGGGCCGCGGTGTGGCGCACGCTGCACCCGCCTTGCAGGCGAACTCCGGCGAGTGGGCGCGATGTGGGCTGGCGGCATCTGGCGCGCTGCGCTCTCCCAGGCCCCCCACGGCCGCCGCGCGCAGTCAGCGCTGGCTCAGCTGCGCGGCGTCCTGGAGGAGGAGCTGGAAGGGATCCGCGGGGCTGGCACCTGGAAGAGTGAACGGGTCATCACGTCCAGGCAGGGGCCGTACATCCATGTGGAAGGCGTCTCCGGAGGTAACTTCCGCTCCTGGGAGCCGTCCAGCTGGCTTGCACAGTACTGAGGGCCCTGGAATGGGGGGTGGGACGGCACCTGTTGGGTATGCTTCGCATATCTGCGGCACGTTATGGCGTCCCAGTGTTTACCTGGTTAAACACGTCTCGACGCTGGGGGGGTGGTTTACCCATGAGCTCCTTTTCTGCACCGAAGGCAGGGCTGGATAGAGACGCAGCCTTTTGAGAACGTGAGAGAAACCCAGATGCTCACTCCACCCCCACCCCACTGCTGTACCGCCTCAAGGAAGGGTGGAAGGAAGACGGCAAGCAAGAAAACTCTTTTTGGTGGAACTAGGATTGGAATACACTGCCCCGGGCTTGCTAGGCTGGCGCTCCACTGCCCGAGGCACGCCCCCAACCCAGAAAATCTTTTTTTGTTGTTGTAGTGAGACTAGAGGAGTTTGAACTCAGGGCTTCTCACTTGCAAAGCAGGCGCTCTACCGCTTGAACCACACCTCCAGCCCACTTTGCTCTGATTATTCAGGATTGGTGGTGGTGGTGGGGGGGTCTTGCGAACTGTTTCCCCAGGCTGGGCTCGAACTTTGATCTTCCCTATCTCAGCCTCCCAGGTAGCTAGGATTACAGACTTGAGCCCTTATTTCTTGAGCGACTGCTTTGTGAAGGTCTCTGCTAATTGCAGCACTTAGACTACTGCTAACCTGTAAACGTGGGAGTCACTAATCCCATTCATAAATAAAAAAGCTGAAACGCAGCTGATTTGTCCAAAAACCTCCAGCTAGGGGCAGGCTAACTCCAGTATGTGGGATATTCGAGCTAGAGGGTAGCTAACTGACCAGAGAGGCCAACCTCCCGATCTGAATCAAAGCTAGCAAGCATTTTAGGTCTGCAGAAGTTCCGAGATGCCATGCGTTGACTCTACCAGGTCTCCCTTGTTCTAATCTGTCGTCACTGCCTATCCTGTTTGTGCCTGACTCCGGGTAGGTGCTGCTTATCAACAGACTTCCAGAGCTGCCATCTGCCTAGGAAAGAGTCTTGGTGCCAATGTAGAGTTTGGAAAATGGAGGTCTCAGGAAATCCCTGCCTTCCCCATGGGAAACATAGAGCAGGCCTGTGCTCCTAACTGAAAGGAGAGGGACAAATGATTTTCAGAGACAAAACGTCTGTCTCCCATCCAGGCACTTTGGGACAAAACCCTCAGCAAGACTAAACAGTTTTCAGCTATAAGTAAAGGCCCAAATGAGCACAGAGTTACGTAATCAAAAGGTGGGACATTTGGTGTCCCAAGTTCTCATCCTGTTTTTGCCCATCCCAGGCTTTGAACCTTCCCCTCTTTCAGACCTTGGCTTCCTCTTCAGGTCAGCTGGGTTCACGTTGGGCTTTAGGATTTGGGACTGAGGTCTCCAAGGCACCCCCTTTGGGGGTGCAGTTCTCTATGGGCCGTAACTGTGTCACCCGCAAGAAAAGCAAGGCCGAGAGGAGGAGTTAGTGGCCTCCAGGACAAGAGAAGCCTGTGGGGAAGGGCTGGGTTCCCCCTTGGGTGGAATGTGATTCAAGACCAGGCTTTAAACTCTTCATCTTTCAAGATGCAGCACAAAGAGTGAATACTTTCCTGACCCTCCCTGTTGTAGCTCTGGATTCACAGCCTCTTGGGGCCGCATCCTGGCCTCAGCCCCAGAATGGATCATCTGGGAGACTGTTGCCTCCTTGGGTGAATCCAGGTCTCTTCCTCTTTGGCCCATTTCCCCAGAGCCTGGCTGTCCTTTGAAGATCCTTTCTTGCCTGTTCATCTCTTCTCTTCCACCTCAGGAATCCTCAACTTCTGTGCTAACAACTACTTGGGCCTGAGCAGTCACCCCGAGGTGATCCAGGCAGGTGTCCAAGCTCTGGAGGAGTTTGGAGCTGGCCTTAGCTCTACCCGCTTCATCTGTGGGACCCAGGTAAATAGTTGGTGTTGGGGGTGGGGTGGCTCCAGATGTCTGCTTCTCACAGTCAGTGTGGCTGGTTTAGCCAGCTCAGCTAATCCCAGGGCTCTGAGCCCACTGTGAGCCCCAGAGCTGCAGGATAGCAAGACTGGGAGCAGGCCTCTACTTGTTGAGAAGCCTTGGACGAGGAACTTCACCTCTGAGCATCCATTTCTCACACCTGTCCTGTAGCAGGAGCAGAGAAGAGGGTTCTGGAGCTACTCTGCCTGAGCTCTACTCCCAGGGCTGCCATTTATTGGCCTTGTCACTGTAGGCAAGTGCTGTAACCTCCCTGAGTCTCAATCCTTCCTTGGTAAAATGGGAACAATAGTACTTAATGGAATCGTTACAAATTAAAAGGTTAAGTTAGTTCATGTAAAAATGCTTAGAACAGTACGTACCCCATAGTAGCACTTAAAAAATGTTGGCTAAAAAAAAAAAAAAAAATTTAAAAAAATAACAGAACAACATGCACCATGAAAAAAAAATGTTGGCTATATGTCAATGTTACAAAATTCATATAAGCACAAAACTTACATAGTGCTTACAATGTACATGCACTTTTTAAAGAGCATCGTATTAACTCACTAGTTCTTACAGCAGTCCCAAGTGATAGGTGCTGTTCTTATCCCTGTTATCGCATGAGGACACTGAGACCCAGAGAGGTTGATCACTTGTACGAAAGCACACAGCTAAGGGCTGGGGGTGTAGCTCAGTGGTAGAGCACTTGGCTAGCATGTACAAGGCCCTGAGTTCCATCCCAGGGCTGGGATGGGGAGGTGGGGGGCACGTACATAAAGCTTAGCATCAAAAGTGCACACAGTTTATCATGGTGGGATTTGAACCCAGGTGGCCAGGCTCAAGAGTCCATGCTTCTAACTGCTTGTCATTATCATCACCTGTCGTCTCTGAAAGGTGAGGGGGAAATGAACCTCAGAAGCAGAACTCCTGTCTCCAGTCCAGGTACTTTTGGACAAAACCCTCAGCCAGAATAAACAGTTTTCAAATCTAAGAAGCAGAGGCCCAAATGAGTGCAGAGTTCTTTTTTTGCCATGGAGCAACCAAAAAGGCTCTCCGTCTGATAGTAGAAAGACACCTCTTCCTTCCCCTTCAGCACCTGTAACTCCACAGACCTCCATTGCAAAACAAAGATCCACTCAGGAAGGGAACCCTACCAAGCATGGAGCTCATCCGAGGGACATCTGCTGATTCCCACGGCTCTAGGGTAACCCGCACGGCAGAAGGAAGGGTGCAGCAACAGCTGCCGGCCTTCTGATCTTGGCCTGCTTGTGGCTCTCTAAGTCTCCTTCCTCCAGGACCTGTCCACCTTGGCCCCCAGGCATTAACACCTACCTGTTTCACTTTCTTTAGAGCATCCACAAGGATCTAGAAGCCAAGATAGCCCGCTTCCACCAGAGGGAAGAGGCCATCCTGTATCCCAGCTGTTTTGATGCCAATGCTGGCCTCTTTGAGGTGTGTGGAGGCTGTGATGCCTAGGGGGTAGGCAGTCAGGAGAACCTGGCAGGATGCCAGTGCCACACCGACAGGTTCTAGTGCCCTTTCTTATGGAGGTCACGGTTGGACCAAGTAGGTGTTCTAGGAGGAAGGTTAGGGGTGTCAGGGGCCTGGTACTCAAATATTTTCACCTGCTGGTGGAGTGGTTCAAGAGGTAGAGTGCTTACCTAGCAAGTGTGAGGCCCTGAGTTCAAATCCCAGTACCACCACCACCAAAAAAAAAACCAAAATAATTGTTATTAAATGTTTTCACTGTCATTGGAGTAGAGCACAGGGGACCCAGATGGACATAGAGGATGCCTTACTTCTCTGCCCAGGCTGGAATGAGATGCTGACTCAGGGGGAATCTTGGGGAAGGAGAGCCCCAGGAAGTTCTCCCTCCCTCCAGGCTCTGCTGACTCCCGTGGACGCAGTCCTGTCAGACGAGCTGAACCATGCCTCAATCATTGACGGTATCCGGCTGTGCAAGGCCCACAAGTATCGCTACCGCCACCTGGACATGGCCGACCTAGAAGCCAAGCTGCAGGAGGCCCAGGTGAGTGGAGGCACCGGGGCGCAAGGCCTTGGCTCACCCTCAGTCTTCCCTGGTGAAGGAAACAAGGCTTGGAAAGACTCCCTCACTCATAAAACAGCCTGAAGCTTTGAAACAGCTGAGATCTGACCCCAAGCCTCTCAGGTTAGGGCTTGCTCCATTGTGCTATGCTACCTTCTGGTGGCAGGTCCTGGGCATAAGGCTGAGTGGATATGTGGCTAGGACCTGGTCTCAATCCTGCCTGTCCTCCAGAACCTGACCCAGGATGGGGTGGCCTGATACCCTTCTCAGTGCCCAGGGCTAAGTGTGTCTCCAGACTGCTCAGGAAGAGATGGGTGAGGCCCAGAGGTCTAGGCGAGGAAGATGATGTTCCAGCCTGAAGGCAGTAGTACCTCTGTGTCCACCTCCCCGAGCCCCCAGCAACCCAAAAAGGCAGTAGTTTTGTCAGTCCTGTGATACCACCTGAACCTGCTCATGCTACCTTGCAGAAGCATCGGCTGCGCCTGGTGGCCACCGATGGAGCCTTTTCCATGGATGGTGACATTGCACCCCTGCAGGAGATCTGCCACCTCGCCTCTCGATATGGTGCCCTGGTCTTTGTGGATGAGTGCCATGCCACTGGCTTCCTGGGACCCACAGGACGGTGGGCACACATAGCACCTGAAGCTTGAGTGGGCTCCTAAGTGTGGGTGGGAAACCAGGGGTCCAGTGTCCCGGCCTGACCTGTGACCCCTGGCACTCAAGCCAGTGGCAGCAGCAGCTGGTTCCTTTGCAGGGGCACTGATGAGTTGCTAGGTGTGATGGACAAGGTCACCATCATCAACTCCACACTGGGGAAGGCACTGGGTGGAGCGTCAGGTACCTATATGATCCTTTCCCTGGTGCCCTTTTATCCACATGCAGGACCCTGGGAGGGTGTCAGGAAGGGAAGGTGGGGAGGGCAGCATGGACAGTATTTGGAGAGAGTCATGGTATGCTCCCGCCCCTAATCAACGGCCACTTCTTTCCTTGTTCTCAGGTGGCTACACCACAGGGCCTGGGCTCCTGGTGTCCCTGTTGCGGCAGCGTGCACGGCCCTACCTCTTCTCCAACAGCCTGCCCCCTGCTGTTGCTGGCTGTGCCTCCAAGGCCCTTGATCTGCTCATGGAGAGCAGCACCATCGTCCAGTCCATGGCTGCCAAGACACGTCGGTGCGGTTCCCAGCAGGGATGGGGCAGCCAGGGGCAATGCGTGGCATAGCCAGGGCCTGCCTACCCGAGACCATGGGTAGCTCCACACCTACAAGTTCTGTCTCCAGTTGCCCACCTCCCTTTTCCCTGTGTCTCCTTCAATCTCCTGTGTCCTCATATCGTCAGTCCTACCTTTCCACAGCTTTTCATTCTGCTTATCCTATGCCTGGCACCCTGTCAGCCTCTGAGAGTCTTTACTGGTTCTGCTTGCAGACTTGGGCACTGATCCTGGACCATGTACCCATCAGGAGTGGGTAGGAATGCTCATGATCCTTGGCTATCTGTGACACTCATCTGTGTCCACAGGTTTCGCAGTAAGATGGAGGCTGCTGGCTTCACCATCTCGGGAGCTGATCACCCCATCTGCCCTGTGATGCTGGGTGATGCTCGACTGGCCTCTTGCATGGCAGATGACATGCTAAAGAGAGGTAAGGGGGCCAGTGGGGTCCAAAGAGAAAGAGAAGAGGGAAACCTGTAGACTGTGGATACTCCCTCTCCACCCAGTACCATCTCTTAGATCAACCCAAACTTGACAACCCCACGCCATGGGGCAGCCCCATGTCTAAGACTGTGGGCAGCAACTGTGCCCTCTGGTGCTGTGTATTGTACCCCCAAAGCCATCAGGCTCTGGTAGGCCCTTGTTGTCTACGTTTCCAGGTATCTTTGTCATCGGATTCAGCTACCCTGTGGTCCCCAAAGGCAAGGCCCGGATCCGGGTACAGATCTCAGCTGTGCACAGTGAGGAGGACATTGACCGCTGCGTGGAGGCTTTCGTAGAGGTGGGGCGGCTACACGGAGCATTGCCCTGAGCTCTGGGTGGAGACAAGTACCCCAAATCTCCTGGCTGCCACAGAACAGGAGGCTCTAAGCCCTGGCTCATAGTCCGAGGGCCGGGCTCAGAGGCCTGTGCTTGTGGCCATGAGCGTGTAAAAAAAGTGTGAAAATTGGCTGAGATTTTGGTCTGCTTTATTCTCACCAAGCAGGCCCAGTTCTGTGTCTGGTTGAAGAATCAGGCAGGAGCTGGGGCTCTGCAGGCAGGCTCCTGCGAGAGCTGACCTCCTCCTCAAAATTAAGATGGGACCCGGCAGCCTGGAGCTAGTCAGAGGCCACCCTTTGACTTAGCCAGATCTGTGCTGCTGTGAAGGGCAGCTGAGAACCAGTGGACCCTTTCCCATACCTCCCCCATGCTATTCTTCAGCCTCCAAATCTAGCCTTGGTGAGTGCCTCATCCTCTGGTTGCCATGCCAAGGATGCCTTACAGCTGCTAAATGCAGGCGTGGTGCTCAGACCCCCGTTTGGGAGGAGAGGCAGGGGATGCAGGTTCCAAAGGAAAGAATGTGGATCACCACAGGAGGGGTCCCTGACAGTCTAAAACCCTGTGTTCTAGCCCACTTTGTCCCTGACTCCTTGTCCTTGGACAAGCCCCATTACCTGTGTTCCCCAACCCCTCGACCCCCCCTCAATTAGAGAGGCTGTTAACATCCAGGCCCTTCCCTCGCACCTTCAAGGCGTATGGTTTGAAGAATAGCCGCCAGGGGGCGCAGGGGGCGCAGTGAAGGTGGCAGTCTCTGCCACCGTCTGCCCTGCCCCGCTCCTGACTGGGGGCCTTGGACCGCAGCTGTTTGGGCGGCTTGCGGACAAGACCCGAGCGTCGATTTGCTGCTGCCAAGGCCCCATCCTCCCTAGTCCTCCCGAAACGGCTCGATGCTCCGCTATTGGAGGTGCCAGCCTCCTTCCCACGTAGCTGCTCCCGGGTCTGCTGCAGGCGCTCCTGAGGGAGGTCGGTTGCCAGCGCTTCCCGGCTTTGTGTGGATGGGCGGGGAGTGAGTTCTGAGTAGCGCAGCTCCAATCTCAGCGTGCTGTGGCCTAGGGAAGCTTGTAGTTTGCTTGGAGCGGAGCTGTGGATGAAATGGCCCGTTTATCACTAAGGACAAGAAACCTCCAGTCCACCTCTGTGCCCGGACATCCTGGGATGGACCATCGGGGCGAGCTCCAGCCCAATCCTGCAGGTACTAGCAATCCTAGCCTGCGATCCGGAGGAGCTTGAGGCTTGGGCCCAGGAACTCTTGGTACCGAAGGGCATGCGGGGCAGGCGGCAGCTGTGGCCACATTAGTGGCAGGAACACTTGCGGGCTGCCACCACCGGGTAGAGCACCTGGCGCCAGGCGCACTGCTGCAGAGGTTGTGCATGGCCTGGCGGCAGCCCGGGACTCAACCAGCAGTGCCAGGCCGGCAGCTTGATGTGCGCGCTGTGCACAGGCCGGCAGGTCATGCCTGATGGCCAAGAACAGCCGCAGCGTGATGTGTCGCAGTCAGTGCGGCGTACCCGGCGGGGCCAGAACACCGGGCCCAGGTCCACCCAGACGGAAGTGAGGCCCCACCAGCCAGCGGCGCAGAACGCACGCGGCCTCCTGCAGTTCCCAGGCGTCGCCGTTGGCGTTGCGCTGCCTGGCAGGCAGTGCGGGCTGGCTGCGGTAGCGCTGCTTGCTGTCGGCCAGCTCGCGGCTCAGCACGGCCAAATTCCCTGGCCCGGTCCGGCTCCTCCGCAGCCATCCAGAAGGGGTCGTAGGAGGCGCCCAGCAGGCGCAGTAGGCGTTCCGGACGCACGTGTTTGGGCTTGGGCACATAGAGGCTTCGCAGGGCCCGAGGGTCGGTTGAGGATCAGCCGAAAGTCTGCGTGCTCCGAAGCCCAGAGCTCTGGCGCGCTGTCCACATCCTCTGAGTCAGCCTTCGGGTTCAAGGTTGTGCAGCCAGGAGCAGCAGCAAGAGCGAGGGGAGGAGGTGGCAGCCGGGACATATTGGGGTTCGGACTGTGACGACACGCCGGACCTGCTGCCCCGCAGCCTGGCTTTCAGTGGCCGCCTCTCCACCACCGCTATCATATCAGCTCAGCCTTGCCACTGCCAGCTCTTTGTCCTAATACTGCACAACCCCAGTAGGAGGGGCGGGGTGTCATAGATCTAGGGGTTTTCCAGCCTAGTGTGGATTCAGGCAAGTACCTGTGTGTGTGTGTGTCTGTCTGTCTCCAAGCATCTGGGAATCTAGCTGCATTGCTGCCCATGATCATAAAAATGCCACTACACAGAGTCTAAAATCCTACGAGTTCAGGGGTCATAAGATCCTACAATTCTAATTCCTCCATTCGGTTCTGCTGGTTCTGAATTCAGGTTTGCAGAATCTAGAACTGATTCCTAACATCCTAAATTCAGTAAGTCTTTTCCAGCGATTCGGGAATTCTACTGGGGGTGGGGGGATTGACACCTAGCTTTAGAGAAGCCCCACCCAGCCCTATGAACAGTAGGAGAAATTTTCCCCCACTTCTCCAACCCGGAATGGAGTCCTGACCCCATCAGTGGCCTCACACTTCCCTTGGGTGTACCGTTATCCTTAGCTTCTAGAAAGATCTTCTAGAAAGATCATTCTCCCTAACTCACCACAGACTGCTTTGTCCCTCATTACACTTCTTTAATCTACCACCAACCTCCTGGTGGCTACGTCCAGCCTCTCAGTCCCCAGGTGCCAGCAGTTCAATGTGGAAGGGCTTGGCCATGTGCCACTCTAAGTGTTCAGGTCTCATGACTGAATCACGTACCCATTCACCAACACCTGTTAACCATTTTGGCACTTACCTGGACAAGAGGTTCTTAACAGGCCACTCATCAAATCCCTCCTTCTCTGCCTTCTTTTCCACCTCAGGCCATAATAAACTTCTTAACAAAATAAAATGTGCAGGTCATATCCCTGTTCTAGAACCTTCACTAGCTCCCCTGGTGTCTCCAGGCTAAAGTGAGATTGTTAGGACAGGCTCAGAAACCATCTAGTTTCCAGCAGACTAAGCCCCTGGAAAAAACTTAGGGGAGGAAATGGGTCCTTTGTGATCTTTTGAAGTCTTCAGAAAGGGGACTGGTTTCCCAGGCTAGTAAACCCCATTCAGTTCTAGGAATCCTTGCTAACCTTAGATAGGAGCCCTATTTGGAGCAAGAGAGGGAGTCAGCAGGGCCACAAGAGGTGGGAGTGCCAGGAATGGACTGGGCCCTGGGCACGGAGGGGTTAACCACAAAGCCACTCTCAGAGAGTGAGATCCATGGGTTACTGCCTGCGAACGAGAGAATGAGGCAGCAGCAACGCAAAGAGACAGAGAAGAGCTGGCAGAAGAGCATGCCACTCAGGGGAAATCAAGGACCAAGGAGGAGGTGGCCAGTGGCTACTCCAGAGGGAGTGTCCAAGTACAACTCAGCAGACAGGCGGGGGCAGAAGAGAGAAGAGGAGGGGCCTTAAAGGTGAAGAGGGAGAAATAGGAGGCAGACCCATACCTGCGGGGAGGCATTGAGGGGCAGCGGCTGAGCCAGGAGGAAGCCCCACCCTGGTCGGTCCACCCAGGATCAAGCAGTGGCCCAGGGCTGAGGTGGGTGTTGCCCATCCTGGGCTTGGGGGTGCCTGCTGCATGCTGGGTATGGGGTGGGGACAGACACCGCCTTTCTTCTCCCTGCCTGCCTACCCCCCTTCACCCCATTAATTCATCCCACCACCCTAGTGACCCCAGGCATGGGTGGACACCCACAGGGAGTGAGCTGTGGGGTGGGGCAGGGGTAAGAACTGGCACAGGGTTCGCACACATGTGCACACACGCAGATTAACAGGTTATTGCCACCTGTTAATCTCTCAGATGAGTACTCCAGCCCAGAAGTCAGGATACCAGAGTGGCAGCAGCTCCAGATCTGTTGCCTAGGTGTGATCTAAGCCATTCTGTCCCCTCTTTGGGCCTCAATTTCCCCGTGTGAGATGAAGACCTGTATGGCCTTCCCAGTTTTGCCACTGAGGATCTCACTACACTGGACTCTGATGACTCAGGGATGTCACCTGTATTGTGTGAAGCAACAGCTTGTAGCAGAGAAAGTCCCCACATCCAGGAGTTCCCCCTGCTCCCTGCCCCAATCTTCAGAGCCCAGATGGAGTAGTAAAATATACCAGCTTTGGGGGGGTTCCACTGCCCCTCCCCACTCTGCTACATCTTCACCATATCAGCCTGTGTTTTCAACTGTCCTATGAATTGAGGGTGTCTACTAATGACCCACACAGCCTTCCTGGGCCTGAGCTTGTAGGGGTGTCCCTAAGAAAGGGAGGAATTATATCCCCCACACCAATGTGACTGTGCTAGGTTCTTGCTCACACAGTCTCAGCTCTGACTTCAGCTTTGTTCTCCCCTCCCCCATCTCCCGTGAGCTTCTATCTAGCCCAGGACACCAGGCCAGACCCAGGATGGGGAAAGTAGGCCCTGGGCCAAATGCCTGGAGCTAGGGGCTCCTGCCTGAGGACCCAGTTTCTGTTCCTAGGTGCCCCTCTGATGGGGAGATGGCTGATGCCCAGAATGTCTCCCTGGACAGCCCAGGGAGTGTGGGGGCCGTGGCAGTGCCTGTGGTCTTTGCCCTAATCTTCCTGCTGGGCACAGTGGGAAATGGGCTAGTGCTGGCGGTGCTGCTGCAGCCAGGATCTAGTGCTTGGCAGGAGCCGGGCAGCACCACGGATCTGTTCATCCTCAACCTGGCCGTGGCGGACCTCTGCTTCATCCTCTGCTGCGTGCCCTTCCAGGCTGCCATCTATACGCTGGATGCCTGGCTCTTTGGGGCCCTGGTCTGTAAGGCTGTGCACCTGTTCATCTACCTCACCATGTATGCCAGCAGCTTCACGCTGGCGGCAGTGTCAGTGGACAGGTGCGCTGGACCTGAGATGGGCTGGGGAGGGAAGACCTGGGCAGATTCTCATTGGCTTTAGGAAGGAAAGAATGGGGGATGTAGAGGTTGGTGGGAGGGAAGGAAAGAAAGCTCTCTGGTCCCCTGATGGGCATGCCTCCAGGGACTATCTTGACCTCCTCCACCTGCACTGTGAGATTCCAGAGGACAACTCTGTGTCCCTAGTGTCAGTACAAGGCCTGGCACATAATAGGTGCTCTGTATAAAATTTACAGGAAAAGAAATTCACAATGTACTAATCAGATACTTTATTACTGCCTACATTTGGCCCAGGCTGCGCTCACACCTCCGTCTATGGCCTGAAATGGGGTCGAAGCGAGGCTCACGCCCTAGCTGATGCCCTTGGGCGAGTCACTTTTTGTCCCCTGCCAGGTGCAGGCACTGGACTAGGCACGTGGTGTTAATGTCCAGAATCCTCCCAACCGCTCCCACTGTGCAAAGAGGAAGTCTAGGTAGTGCTGCAGCGCGGATTCGGGCCCCGGGGAAGGGAGGCGGCCCGTCGCCCACTGACCCAGCGCCTGTCCCCACAGGTACTTGGCGGTGCGGCACCCGCTGCGCTCGCGGGCCCTGCGCACACCGCGCAACGCACGCGCCGCCGTGGTCCTGGTGTGGCTGCTGGCGGCGCTCTTCTCTGCGCCCTACCTCAGCTACTATGGCACGGTGCGCTACGGCGCGCTCGAGCTCTGCGTGCCCGCCTGGGAGGACGCGCGCCGGCGCGCCCTCGACGTGGCCACCTTCGCCGCCGGCTACCTGCTGCCCGTGGCCGTGGTGAGCCTGGCCTATGGGCGCACGCTGCGCTTTCTCTGGGCCGCTGTTGGTCCCGCGGGCGCGGCGGCGGCGGCGGCCGAGGCGCGGCGACGGGCCACCGGCCGTGCGGGGCGCGCCATGCTGGCGGTGGCCGCGCTGTACGCCCTCTGCTGGGGTCCGCACCACGCTCTCATCCTGTGCTTCTGGTACGGTCGCTTCGCCTTCAGCCCGGCCACTTACGCCTGCCGCCTGGCCTCGCACTGCCTCGCCTACGCCAACTCCTGCCTCAACCCGCTGGTCTACGCGCTCGCCTCGCGCCACTTCCGCGCGCGCTTCCGCCGCCTGTGGCCCTGTGGCCGCCGCCGCCGCCGCCACCGCGCCCGCTGCCCCTCCGGCGCCCGCCGCGCCCTCCGGCGCATCCACCCTGCGTCCTCGGGTCCCGCCGGCTGCCCCGGGGACGCCCGGCCTCGCGGAAGGCTGCCGGCCGGCGGCGGCTGGAGCGGGGAGCCCAGGGGGGAGCCGGTGCGCGGCAATGCTGGACGAGTCTCGTGTGCCCGAGGACCCGAATAAATCTTGTCAGCCTGGACTCTGCTAGGTGTCTGTCTATCCCCTTCCCTGAGGGCAAGACGCCACTGGGCCAGCAGCACTCAGAGGGTGGTGCAACTTGTCCAGTCTGCTCAGTGGCAGAGCTGGGGCTCCAGCCCAATGGACACCTGCGAGGTGAAAATGGGTCCACCCAGCCAGACACCCAAACAGGCAGCACAAGGCTCCGTCCAAAGCCACAGGTGATGGGCACCTTCTAGGCCCTGCTTCCTCGACCACCTGTTACCAAGCCCCTTCTTGGTCCCAAGCTTTGGCAGGTAATTTAATGCTAGCAGCTGATGGCAAATACCCATTAAGTCCACACAGTAAGGTAATCGTTAATTATCAAGACACATAAGGACTGCGACAAGGTTCAAGCGGTAAAGTGCCTGCCCACCAAGTTTGAAGTCCTGAGATCAAACCCCAGTACTGTACACAGACACACACACACACACACACACACACACACACACACAGATATAATTAACCCTATTTTACAAATGTAAAAATTGAGGAACAGAGAGGTTTAGGGATTTGTCCAAGGTCACATAGCTACTGTTTGGTAGAGGTTGGATTCCAACCCATGGCCAATTTTTTCTACTCCGTGGCCTTCCTTCTCTACCCGTGGGACCTCCTCTCAGTTTCTATAGGATTTTCTTTTCTCCTCATCTTCTTCCCACTTCCCCTTCTCCTCTTCCCCCATCCTCCTGTTTTTGGGTCTTCCTGTTTCACTTTTCCAAATATGCAGCTCTCCAGCCTCGCACATCTGCCCAAATGCTCTAGAAATCCCAGAGCTCATGGTTCCTTCCTGTAGAGAGTTCTGTTTGGCTACTCAGGTAGAGGGGCTGGTGGGACTAACGGGGCTTCCCAGGGCCATGACATCCCGGGACCATTCCCTGGTTCAAAAACCTTGCATCATTCCCATTGCCTTTGGTTTTCCTGGCTCAGTAGACATGCTGAGCTGTCCTTGGGCCCCAGCTGGCCTCTCAGCAGCCCTGGCTGCCCTGGGGTCCCTTCCCTCCCTACTCCCACACACAGCTGGGGAAGTCTGTGGCTGTAGAAACCACTAATTAACCAATAAATCAGTCTCGATGGTTTCCAAGCTGCCCACCTTCCTCCCTCCCTTCCCATACATCAATAACGTTTATTGACTTTGGGGCTGAGGCCTGAGACCCTGCAGCCTCTATGACTCCCTGGCATACTTCTCAGCTGCTGCGGCACCCTGGGAAGGCCCCTGCCTGACAGAGGCAGCTGCTGCCACCTCATCACTGCCTGCCACCTGCCAACAACCCAGAGGTTAGAGTGGCAGCAGAGGCTGAGACCAGCCAGGAAACAACTGCTTTCAGGATCTAGCCTAGGTTCCCACACCAGGCTCAATGCTTTTTCTCCCACCTCTCTGCTGAGGTTGTTCAAGTCTGACTCAGGATTGGCAGATGGTGGGATGCCTTCCTGGGGGCAGAGAATGTAACACTGTCTCTCCACAGCACCGAGGGTGACCATCACCTATGCCTCTTCTGTGCCTCGCCCAATCCTGCTAGGCAAAGTACAGTATCCCATTTTCAGAAGAGAAATCTGGAGCTCAGGGAGGCAGGACATGTGACAGTTAAGTAGTGAATGGTGGCAGGCCTGAAGGATGTCTGAAAGACAGTCTAACAGCATGCAGACCGCACATAAGGGTGGCTGACAAAGTTCACTGCTGACAGATGACAAATGCCTGCACAGTAAAAGTAAGTGGGGAGCAAAATGTCCCTCAGTTGGCATAGGCTGTGGTCAGGCTGGCCACCCAATTGAGCTCCTCCTCCATAGCTCTCTGTGGACACACACAGGTGACCCGACCCAGAATGAACTGGAGACCAGATCACACAGCCAAGGAGTAGCAGAGCTAGAATTTGAGCAGAGGTAGAATTTGGTGTGAACCAGGGCAGGAACTGGCCAATGGAATTCCCCACAGTGGCCCAGTGCTCTGGGACTCTGCTCAACTGGTACAGGGCCACTGTACAGCCAGACCCTGGCTGGTGCTGTATGAGGCCTCCTGCTTCTGAAGCAGGTTTGTCTGGCACAGTGGAGCCACATAGAGGCCCAGAGGCCTGACTAATTGAGGGACTGTGAAGCCTCCTGGCAGGTAGTAGGCATATAGCAGATATTTGATACAGGAGTACAGAGTGCCAGGGAAGAAAAGAGTTGGTTCTGCCCTTCCTTCTCTTTCCTCACATCTGAGAGCCTGCCACAAGCCAGGCTTGAGAGGAGGACAAGACAGCTGCATTCAAACTTGAACCTGCCTATCAGGAGTGTTCAGCCTGGCTGTAGAGCCAAACCCCAAAGAAGAAAGGATAAACTGGGTGCTGGTGATTCACTCCCATAATCCTAGCTATTTGGGAGGCTGAGATCAGAAGGATTGTGATTTAAGGCCAACCTGGGCAAATAGTTCATGAGACTCCATCTCCAAAATAACCAGAGCATAGAAAAATAAATAAATAAATAGAGGAAAATGGACTTGGGGTGTGGCTCAAGTAGTAGAATGCCTGCTTTATAGACACAAAGCCCTGAGTTCCAACCCAAGGCCCACAAAAAAAAAAAAAGAAAGAAAGAAAGAAAAAAGAGGAAGAAGAAAGAAAGAGGACAGTGCTAGCACATGAAGAATGGGACTGTAACAAAAGACCACACATGGGTCTGGAGACAGAGAAGTCGGAGAGAAAGAAGGTCTTGTGTGCCTGGGCAATGCAAGCAAGAATCCCAGAGGTGACATTAAAAATGTATTTTCTTGGAGAAGTGTGAGGAAGGGCATCACGGGCAGAGCCTGTGTGAGCAGGGGGTGTAGGAGCAATAAGCCAGCTGTGCAGTTGAAGCAGGTGGGTAAGTGAGATCAGCTGGAGAGCAGGAACTTCATCCTTCAGGCCATAGTGCTGCCTGAAGCTTTCCAGGACAGCTAGGGCCCCAGCAGAGGTGTAGCTCAAAAAGCCCAGGGATGCCTATAGAGGCTGGCTTGGAGAAGCCAGGCTGGTAAGGAGGAGGACAATGAAGAGGCAGCTTATAGGCCTACTGAGGAAAGCCAGCAAGGTCTAGATTTTTTCTGGGAAATTATTTTTACCATAGATATGGCAGGAAGATCAATGGCCTGCTGCCAGTTCAGGCTGGGCACCTGAGGCTCCTGGATTTGCTTCAGGGGCTAATGAAATACTTGGGAGAACAGATGGTTGTATTGACTTGGTTAGGGAGAGCCCTGTATCCTCTAGAGCCCAAGGCAGGCTATGGGGACTGGACACAGAGGCTGAATGAGCCCTGGCTGCTGTCCCAAGGGCCCAGGAGAAGCCACCTGACTGAGGTCTCTGCCAAGACTGGCTAAGCCAGCAGCATCCTCGGATGGGAAGGAGCCCATCTTAGTTGAATGTGGCCTGCTGTACTCCTGAGTACCAACCAGGCACAGGTTCTCTCCTGCAGGCAAGAAGGATGGAAACACCCAGAGCAGAGCCCTAACCCCACTTGGGCCCCCAGAAAAGACCTCCTGGAGGAGCTGTATCCAAGCCCAGTCCTCAAGCAGGAGGTCACCAGGGCAGGCAGGGAAAAGAGACATGAACGAACTTGTGCTTGGGCTGCCTGACATCAGTGGCCTGGGACAGGGTCCAGGAGCTTTTGCAGGGAGGTGGGAGAGGTGGGGGCAGGTGGTGAGGAAGTCTACTAGAGATAGCTAACAGACTGTCAATGGGGAGCTACTGGATGAAACCAGAATGACTTGGGGTTTAGTCTGTAACTGTCAAGGCTGGGGGCAGAGAGAACAAACAGGAGACCAGGAACTTTCAGAATCCAGAGGTGGAGACATCCAAGACACGGGCAGTGAGAGAGACATGGACAGATAGGTCAACCATTCAGAAGGTACAACTTTCAGGATTTGGTGATAGTTGGAAGGCAAGGAGAAAGATGTCCCAGGTGACACCCAGACTTCTGACTTGGTTCCTCGGGAGTGGCAGTGGGACTACTGAGGGGGTAGGGTAGGGGCAAGGCGATGATGAGCCAGGCTGAGAGCTGGGGTTTTAACTCAGGTTTATCTGATTTAGGTTCCATGCTCTTTAGGGGAAGAAGTGAGAGAAGAAGCAGGAGTTGGTTGAGGGGGAGGAGCTTGAATGTGCAAAGGAGGTGACCTCCTTCATCCCCTTCCCCTACCCTGTGTCATGACTGTGTGGCAGGGTTGCACCTCCACTCTGGGGAGGCCAGGCAAAGTGAGCCCCCCAGCCCCCCAAGCTGTTAAGCAGACCCTCCCCTTGCCTGGGGCTGGTGGGACAGCATCATCTATCAACTTGGAAGTGTGGACCTGGGGAAATAAACACCAATTAACCACCCCGAGATTCCTGTTAATGGGTATTGCTTCCTCAGCCCTGATGCAGGGCTCATTTGTGAGCTACTGGCTGGCTGTGAGATGGCACAAAGCCAGAGGGAAAAGACTGAGCAAGGCGGAAATTGTTTTTGGTTTAAGAGGACCTGATTGATTCATTGAGATGTGTGCTTGCTTAGGTGGGTGTGTGGAGGTGAGACTGGAGCAAGAGGAAGGGTAGCGAAGGGCAAGGGTGCCAGGACCAGGATGGAGTGTCTGTGGGTGCTAAGACTCCCCAGCTTCCCTGGCTCCAGATGGCTGTGGGGCTGGGGAGGGTGCTGGCCTGGGCATCTAGTGGCCTGCTAGGACAACTCAAGAGAGGTTGGGGCAGCACAGGAGGAAGGCATAAGCTTTGAATCCTAGCTCCTGCACTCTAACGCTGTGACATCTCTGAGTCTCAGTGACCTGAAGACCTGAGCTCTGTCTGAGCCAGGTTCCATCTGAGGTACTGGGTACAAATCTCCCCAGGGGGCAATCTGCCTGCTATCCTGTCACCACTGAAGCCCTGCAATCTGGCTGAGCAAGTGCAAGTCCTTCACCTCTGCCCCAGGTGTGGCTGATCACCAGCTGCCTCTGTGACACGGGCCACCCTCCTTGACTTCAAAAGCCAGAGGAAATCACTGGTTCTCATGGGTGTCAGAGTGGCTGCTCTGTGAATATGGGGACAAAAGGATGTGCTGGCATGGAACTCTACTGTGTGGTGTCTGGCAAGGCCCCTTTACCCCTGAGTCTGCTTCCTCCATGTGAAGTGAGCTGCTTACATGTCCTTGAAGGCCTTGAAGCCTGGCTCGGGCTGCTCCCTCTCCCATCCACCAAAAATCACCAAGGCCCTCAGATCCAGCCAAGTTCCATAATCTTGGCTCATCCTCTCTTTCCCCAGGTGACCAGATACAAGCCTCTTCCATCAAGCACACTGTGTCATGTGCTCAGTGAGGAAAAGGTCAGACCCCTAAAATGCCAACTGTTCACAGAGACAAAAGCCTCTACTCAGTACCCTGAGTCATAGCTGGTTCCTACCAAATATGTCCCAGGAGTCCTGGGGTGGGAGTAGGGGGGCTAGGCTTTGGAAACCTGGCAGAGAGAATATTGGCCTGGGTTAGACTCTTTTCTGTCTGACCTCAATCAAGTCACTTTCTCTTTCTTGTTTTGTTTTTTTCAGTACTGGAGTTTGAACTCAGGGCCTCATGCTTGCTAGGCAGGCACTCTACCACTTGAACCACACCTCCACCCCAATCACTTTCTCTTTCTGAGCCTCAGTTCCCTGCACCCGGAGAATAGAGGAAGCATCAGAGAAAAATGTCAGTCTAACATTTTGTTGTAAACACTGAATCAAAGCACCTGTTGGCATGCAGTAGGCGCTCAGCAAACAGGCAGTCCTCCCTCCCTGTTAGAAAGCAGTTTGTGAGGGGCTCTGGCTTCACGCATGGTAGAAACAGCACGAATTTAGGGTGTGGGTGCAGGTGTCAGCCCTGGACCCTGGCAGACTGGCTTCTTCACCTGTAAGCAGTGGCAGAAGCGAGGCCCATGGAGAACACATCTAGTCAGAGCACGTGCTCAGTAGATTGCTCACAGGAATGGAGCGGATAGTGAGGAAGAAAGCTAAGGATCTTCCCCCAGAGGGGGAAATCAGCAACTGTGCCTTTCTTCCTGTCTCTGCCCACTCTGCGCTCTCTCACCCTGTCAGTAGTCAGTATCCTCAGCAAACAGAACCAACCCTGAGCGCAAGTACTACTGAGCTGTCTCCTGCCCATGCCCAGTCCAGTGCTCAGGGCCCACTTGTGTGTTTTCTGACTCACTCCACTGTCTGGGGCAGACTTTTATCTGGCTGGCTCTTCAGGCAGATTTGGGGTTACAGGAAAACACTCTGGATGGGATGGGCAAGGCAGTTTGGCTAGCTGCCAGGCTGCCTGGCAAGTGTTTGATGGCTGACCTATAAACCACCTTCCTATCTCAAGCCCTCCTAGTCTGCATGGCACCAGAAGGAATTGACAGCAGACAATGAAAGGGGCTTTCATGCCACAACTCCAGGTATGCAGGAGTCTGCAGAAGGCTCTCCCTGTATCACTGCTGGCCAGCTGAGATTGTGAGGAGTCAGTCAGTCCCTGTGTCAGGCTGTCCTGGAAATGCCAGGGGCATCTCAGAGTGACTTTGCAGTTCCAGCACACCCCACTCTACAAATCCAAAGTGGCAGCCCCCATCTGCCCGCCCCAGGGCTCTGCAGTGAGGGTTCCTCACCTTTTCTGAATGGGGATCCTGCTGAGCACCAACACCGTGGACTGTTGCTCAAAAAAGCAAGTACACACTCCTCACAAAACCTTGTCTCACTTTGGAGGCTCACGCCCCTCTAAGGGACTGGGGTTCAGAAACCATGACTCAACTCTCACCCAGATGATCAGCCTGGGCAGGTAGAGAGAAGCAGGTCTGCAGAGAAGGGCCCACCCAAGTTTAAGGCCCATTTCCTCTCTTCTGCCCTAGACTACTTCCTGCCGAGCCACACAGGGAGACTCTAGAGAAGCCCCTGGAAGAGGGCAGGCTCAGCTGAAGGGAGTTGAGTCACCTGGGCAGAGAAGAAGGGAGTAAAGCTGCCTCCACCACACTTCATCCCTTGCTCCTCACTTTATTGGGCAGCAGCAGCGGCTTGAGATCCGTGGACACACATCAGTCCGTGCTGGGTCCCCTTCCCAGTCCGGGGACTGCCACAGCACTTTGCCTTCACAACCCTGCCAACTTGGGAGGCTTTGGGCTTCCCTGCCATGGGCTCCTGGAGGCTGGTGTCATACACCCTTGTCCTCAGGGTCTCAGCTGGGTTCTGGGCGTTCAATTCAGACCTGAATCGTACCAAACTGGAATCTGGGGACAAGGTCTCCTGAAAGTAGCCAGGGCTTCAGTTTGGGAGAGAGAAAGTGGGGCAGAGCCAGTCAGGAGACATGGAATGAGCACCTGGGACCCTGTGGCCAAATGTCTCCTTAGACAGGGGCTGGCCAAGCAGTGCCAACAATAGGTTTCACTATATGGTTGACCCTGCTTTGAGGGGGTGCCTCCTAGTGGTGTCCGCAGACCACACAGAGGGCCATCTGCTCCTGAGGGTGGGGCTGGGACTGTTCACAAGTGGAAGACTTCTGTGGTGAGTTTGAGTCTCCACTACTTTATTAGTTTCCTGTTGCTATGGCAACAAGTCACCACAAACTGAGTGGCTTAAAACAACACAGATTTATTCTCGTACAGTTCTGGAGGCTAGACTCTAAAATCAGTCTCACAGAGCTTAAGTCCAGTTGTCAGCAAAGCCAGTTCCTTCTGGAAATTCCAAGCGCAGAATCCACTTCCTTGCCTCTAGCTTCTGGAGGCAGCCTGCATTCTTTGGCTTGTGACCTCTTCCTGGACTTGTTTCTTCCCTTTCCAACTTTTCTTCCATCAGCACATCTCCTACTTTTCTCACCTTCTGCTTAGCCTCCTATGAGACCTCTCTGATTATATCCAGCCCATCTAGATATCCAGGACCACCTCTCTTGTCAAGAACCTTCATTATGTCCACATAGCCTTTTTGTCATCTAAGACAAGGCCCACAGGTTTCTGGGATGAAGACCTGGGCATCCTGGGGGCCACTATCAGACTATGATCCAATGGGTCCCTCTTGATGTTATAGTGACAGGGAGGGAAATGGTTGGAGATCTTTTCCTTTGGGCTCAGCAGTATCCTTCTAAACCTTGTTAAGGTCTAAGCCTCACCAACCCTCCCTTTCTGACCAGAGAAACTCATACAGTATCTTCTCAAAAGTCAGGTGATGAGCTAAACCTAAGTGCTGGTGAGTGGACCAAGGCCAACCAAGAGGCTCACTGCAGGCAGCCCGCTGGAAGGCAACAAGCCCAATGCTGGGAAGGAACACAGAAGACTCTGGGGCTTGCCAAAGGCACCAGAGGCCATGGGCTGAGTGGTACCAGATAGGACAGCATGTGTAGGCCAGAACTGAGGTGTGGCTGCAGAGCTTGGCCTAGTACAGCAGAAGCCAATCCCCAGCCCACAGAGGTGTTTGGGAGCAGCTCTGAGATGGTGAAAAGCATCTCTGCCTCCCAGTATCTGAGGGCAAGGGCAAAGTCCTCACCAGAGAAGCAGAGCTCCGAAGTCCTCTGGGCTTTTTCTTTATAAGGAGAGAGCAGAGGGTATGTGTTGTGGGGGATAGGGCGGGGGAGAGAAGGCAGGCAGAGAGCCACTCTTGCTACCTCTTCTCCATGTTTTGCATCTGCAAACTGAGGGAGGTGAAGCTGGCCAGGAGGTCAGTCACTTCATCCACCTGCAGGACAAAACCCAGGCTCTGATCCAGGGTTCCAGGGTGCCTTGCTCTTGCCCCCACCCCTATCCCATGGGCACAGAATGCAGGCATTGACTCTCCTAGGCATATGATGACTCCTCTCTACCTACTGGACAGTTGACCAAGGGGCCATCCTTGACACCAGGACTCAGGCTGCCCTAGTCCAGAGAGCAGGTAACCATGAGCACACACTAGCTTCTGTAGCCTCACAGGAAGTGAGGAGGCTATGAGGCCTTTGGTGGGCACAGCCTCTTTTTGGTGTGAAGGTCTGGCCACATGGGAACAGGGCTGGACCTATGGCTGCAGCTTACTCACCTGCTCTTTAGTACTTGTCATCTGGAGGCGGGTGCAGAGATCGTCCAGCCGGTCCCGTTGCTCATGCCGTCCCAGACGCTCCAGATACTCCCGCAGCATCTGGATGATCTGGAATAAAAGGGAGCTGAGCTGCATGCTCAGGCCAGGAGGCACAGAGAGCTAAATGCTGCCACTGCAGGCCTGTAGAGTAGGTCAGGGTAAGATGACTCAGGAGCCCTGTGGCCAGTGCAGGTGGATCTGGTGAGCATAGCACCGGTCCAGAGCTTGTGTGGGGTCTGGGGCTGACATGGGACGGCATGCTCACCTGCTTAACCTCTAGCCGCACAGCTTCCAGGCACTGGGAATGGCCCTCCTGCAGGATATTCAGCTTCGACTTGGCCAGGTGCAGGGGCGTGCGGCCAGCTCGGTCCAGGGCATCTACCCGGGCCCCTATGAGAACAGGCAGAGGGAAGCACGCTGGGGTGAGGGGGAGAGAGGAGAGGTGGAAGGAGAAAGGTGCACATACCTCCTCGTAGCAGTGTGGTGATGACTGGGACATGGTTGGTGCACGCCGCTGAGGAAGAAAAACATACTGGAGAATCAAGGACCATCAAGAGGAGGGAGCAGGGCTGAGTCTCCAACTATGCCTTGGCAAGTTATACCACCAGAGGCATAATCTGCAGCATCTGAGTAGGACTCAGCAATCATATCCAACTCCCTCTCTGTACAGCTGGAGAAACAGGCCTGGAGATGGGACCCTCTTCACTACACATCACGGTGAGTTGGCAGCAATGCTGGAGCCAGCCAGGGGTCTCATAACCTACATTCTTACAGGGATTCATAGCAGGTCCTGGCTGCTGAATCAGCTCTGACCAGTGACGGGCAACTGCGAGTAACCGGAAGGGCCGCAGGATGCAGGCTGGCTGGGAGTGTACCTAGGGACTCAGGTTCTGCCCAGATGCTGGAAGACACTCCTGGGAGCCTGCAAAACCCCAGGTTTCCTATCTTAGGAGTCTGTCTATGCTTCAGAGCTATCTGGGTGGCTTTTGAGGACTTACCCAGGTGCAGTGGTGTGTTGCCCAGACCATCCCGCTGGTTGGGGTCAGCCCCATGGTCCAGAAGTAGCTGCACTGGAAATAGGAAAACCCAAGAAATGCTGTTAGAGGTCTCCATAAACTATGCCTGTACCGAAAGAGTAGGAAATACTCTGGAATTAATAGGTATAGGTAAGAACTTTCTCAATGGAACCCCAGCAGCACAGCAACTAAGAGATAGCATAGATAAATGGGACTTCATAAAACTAAAAAACTTCTGCTCAACAAAAGAAATGGTCTCTAAACTGAAGACAACACCCACAGAGTGGGAGAAAATATTTGCCAGCTACACATCAAAGGACTGATAACCAAAATATATAGGGAACTTAAAAAACTAAATTCTCCCAAAATTAATGAACCAATAAAGAAATGGGCAAGTGAACTAAACAGATATTTCCCAAAAAAAAGAAATTCAAATGGCCAAAAAACACATGAAAAAATGCTCATCATCTCTATCAATAAAGAAAATGCAAATTAAAACCACACTAAGGTTCCACCTCACCCCTGTTAGAATAGCCATCATTAGCAACACCTCTAACAACAGGTGTTGGCGAGGATGCGGGGCGGGGGAAAAAGGAACCCTCTTACACTGCTGGTGGGAATGTAAACTAGTACAACCACTCTGGAAAAAAATTTGGAGGCTTCTTAAAAATCTAAACATAGATCAACCATATGATCCAGCAATACTACTCTTGGGGATATACCCAAAACAATGTGACACAGGTTACTCCAGAGGCACCTGCACAACCATGTTTATTGCAGCACTATTCACAATAGCCAAGTTATGGAAACAGCCAGGATGGAACTGGAGAACATCATTCTGAGTGAGGTTAGCCTGGCCCAAAAGACCAAAAATCGTATGTTCTCCCTCATATGCGGACATTAGATCATGGGCAAACACAACAAGGGGATTGGACTTTGAGCACATGATAAAAGCGAGAGCACACAAGGGAGGTGTGAGGATAGGTAAGACACCTAAAAAATTAGCTAGCATTTGTTGCCCTCAACTCAGAGAAACTAAAGCAGATACCTTAAAAGCAACTGAGGCCAATAGGAGAAGGGGACCAGGAACTAGAGAAAAGGTTAGATCAAAAAGAATTAACCTAGAAGGTAACACACCTGCACAGGAAATTAATGAGTCAACTCCCTGTATAGCTATCCTTATCTCAACTAGCAAAAACCCTTGGTCTTTCCTATTATTGCTTATACTCTCTCTTCAACAAAATTAGAGATAAGGGCAAAATAGTTTCTGCTGGGTATGGAGTGGGTGGTGGGGAGAGGGAGGGGGCGGAGTGGGTGGTAAGGGAGGGGGTGGGGGTGGGGGCAGGGGGGAGAAATGACCTAAGCATTGTATGCACATATGAATAATAAAACAATAAAAATTAAATTAAAAAAAAGGGAGGTATGAGGATAGGTAAGACACCTAAAAAACTAGATAGCATTTGTTGCCCTCAACGCTGAGAAACTAAAGCAGATACCTTAAAGCAACTGAGGCCAATAGAAGGGGACCAGGAACTATAGAAAAGGTGAGATCAAGAAGAATTAACCTAGAAGGTAACACACACACACAGGAAATCAATGCAAGTCAACTCCCTATATAGCTATCCTTATCTCAACTAGCAAAAACCTTTGGTCCTTCCTATTATTGCTTATACTCTCTTTTCAACAATATTAGAGATAAGAGCAAAATAGTTTCTGCCGGGTATCAAGGGGGTGGGGGGGAGGGGGCGGGGGGGTATAGGAGGGGGTGGGGGAAAGGGGGAGAAATGACCCGAACATTGTATGCACATATGAATTAAAAAAAAAAAAAAAAAAAACCTATGCCTGTATCCCAAGCTAGCTGGAGAGGCTCCCTTAAAGTGTGGGATGCTGAATGCAAACACAGTACCCTATGTTGTTTCATTCATTCATTCATTCACTGCGCAGGGTTCACGTTCAAGGCCCTGAGGACCAGAAATGAGGATTTCAGTCGGGGCCCTTGGCTTATGCAGGTGCTATGCAATGAAGGTTTCAAGGGTTAAAAGAAAGCTCCCAAGGGCATTTTCTGATCTTCCCAGAGCCAAGCACCACGGTGAGACCTAGGCCAACAGATGATGTTGAGCTCCATGAATAACCTCATCCTCCTTGACACCTTGGGCGGGCTGTAGTGCTGCCAATTATCCTGCTAATACAAAGGCAGGCTAATTTAGGGCCAGGACACTGTATGAGGAGGCCAGGCTGAGCCTCCCACCAGACACAAAAACTAATTCTGGAGGGATTATAGAGCCAAAATATGAAAACAGAAACAGTCAGGCTTCTAGAAGAAAACAGGATATCTTCATGACCATGGAATGGGCAAAGACTTCATAAAAATACTAACCATAAGAAAGAATGATAGCCAGGCGCCAATGGCTCATGCCTATAATCCTAGCTACTCAGGAGGCAGAGAGATCAGGAGGATCATGGTCAAAGCCAGCACTGGGCAAATAGTTCGTGAGACCCTATCTTGAAAAAACCCTTCACAAAAAAGGGCTGGTGGAGGTGGAGTGGTTCAAGTAGTAGAGCCCCTGCCTAGCAAGCATGAGGCCCTGAGTTCAAATCCCAGTATTCCCCCCCAAAAAGAATGATTCATTAACATTAAGAACTTATGTTCATTAAGAATGAAAAAACAATGGGTTTGCAAGTCATTTATAATTAATAAATTATTTATGTCCAAAATGTTAAAAAAAAATTCCACAAGTTTAATAAGAAAAAGGCAGCTTAGGATGGGTGCCAGTGGCTCACACCTGTAATCCTAGCTACTCAGGAGGCAGAGATCAGGAGGACTGTAGTTCAAAGACAGCCTGGGCAAATAGTTTGCAGGACACTATCTCAAAAAAAAAACCTTCACAAAAATAGGGCTGGCGGAGTGGCTAAAGGTGTAGGCCCTGAGTTCAAGCCCCAGTACCTTAAAAAAAAAGGGGGGGGGGCGGATGAGACAGCAAGTTGGATAAGGCCAAATGTGCCTACATGAGTTCTTAATCTTTTTTTTTGTGGCACTGGGGCTTGAACTCAGGGCCTCATGCATGCATAGCAGGTGCTCTACCACTCCACCAGTCCCCTACATGAGTTCTTAAAGCCATACCACAAGTACAAGAATGTTCATGGCAGTTTTGTGCATAACAGCCAAACACTAGGAACAATGCAAATGTCTCCCAGCAGTGGAACAAGTAAATGGGTATGTCACATAGTGTGACACTAACCAGAATAAGGACAAACTACTGATGCACACAGCATTTGTGGATAAACCCATGGATATAATTTTGATTGAATTTCAGAGTATGCACAAAGAGTGCATACTGTGTGCTTCTATTTAAGTGAACTTCAATAGCAGGCACCCTTAGTCCATGGTGAACAAGGTTCAGATAGGGGTAAGGACTGGGAGGGTATGATGGGGCTCCTGGGTCGCTGGAAACAGTCTACATCTTACCTGGTGGTGGTTACACCACCATATACATGTACACAGTTCATTGTTTGGAAATTATACTATAATCTAAAAACAAACAAAAGGCTTTTGTGTTGCTTTGGTTGGCACTGAGTAATACTGTCTGAATGTCTCAAAGGCCTGGGCCTACTGCTCTAGCTGTCTCCTCATCGGAGGCTTCCCTTGCCTGCAGTCAATCACCTTTCCCCAGGATTGGCCCTTCTCTGCCTGGCAGTGCTAATTCCATAGGTCAATGGACAGGGGTGCCATGGTGCCAGGTCTCCTTATATATAGCACCCCTGGCATCCTGAGGGCATGCAGACAGTAGTTCCTCCCAACAGACTGGAGAAATGCTTCTTGCCCCACCCAGCTCCTGTTCCCTTCCCAGTACTTACCAATCTGGTCATTGCCATTGCAGGAGGCGAAGTGGAGGGCTGTGCGGCCTTTGTCATCAGCTGCACAGGGATCCGTGCCATCTTCCAGCAGCTGCTGCACTGACACCACCAAGATGGGGAGGAAGGGTGAGAAAGCAGCAGTGTTAGTTATACTGCAGTCCCTAAGGATGGACAGGGAACTCAGGGGTCCCTGCAGAGGAGGCCTTCATGATACATGGGAAAGCTGGTCCCTCTAGGATCCTGGTCCCACAGGGATGGCCATGACAAAGGACTTGTTCTTCTGAGGACACAACTGAGGACCATGGATTCTGAGTACTCAAACTGTGTCTAGGAACAGACATCATAGGATGGTCTTGACCCTTAGGGTCAGGAACTCCAGAGTCACAGAAACTCTATCACAGACTGTGGCCCCATCCTGTTAGCTCAGCCTGGATACACACGTTCCAGTTGGACAGCTACCTGAGCTACTGACTGACACTTACTTGGCTTCCAGAGGGCAGCCCTTTAGAGTGACAGAGCACAGGCTCTGGGACACACAGACTAAGACTCAGGCAAGGAGCCACTGCCAACAGCATGAGGCAGTGGGAACAGCTGGTCTGGGAGTGAGCACAAAGGCTGGGACTCCAGGACGCCAGCATTGAGCATAATTTCGGCCCTGCCACTCTCCAGAGCTGCGTGATGAGAATAATGGATGTGAAATGCCTTCTTTGGAGAGAATGGAAGCACCATGGGAGTGAGGTGTAACACACTAATGTGCATGTCCAACTGGAATGGGGAAAATTGCTGCCAGGTGTCATTTTAGAGTAAGCAACATTTTCGTCTCTTTTTCCCAGCAAACCTCTCAAGGACTTGACTCCTTCCCCTCCAGGCAGCCCTCCTGGAGCTGAGTCAGCCGCTTCTTTCCTGCACCTCTCTAGTGTCCTGCTCCTTAAGTGCAACAGCCTGTGCCATTCTAGAATAATCCCCACTTTACACTGGGCCAGGCATCAGGCACAAAAAAACTGTGGCTGTGGCTGAGTGTGATGGTGCACTGGTGCACTCATGTAATCCCAGCATTTGGGAAGTTGAGACAGGAAGATCACAAGTTTGAGGTCAGTCTAGGCTATATGATGACACACTTGTGGCTGTGGGGCTAGACCTCTTGCTCAGTGGACTGGATCCCTAGGGTTTCAATTTCCAGAATATAGCTGGGGGCATGGGTCAAGTAGTAGAGTGTCTGCCTAGCAAGCTGGAGGTCCTGACTTCAAACCCTAGTACTTAAAAAAAAAAAAAAATCACAGTGGTTTTTTTTTTTTTTTTTTTTTGTGGTACTGGGATTTGAATTCAGGGCCTTCACCTTGAGCCACCCCACCAACTCTTTTTGTGATGGGTTTTTTCAAGATAGGGTCTTGTGAACTATTTGTCGGGGTTGGCTCTGAACCTTGGTCCTCCTGATCTCTGCCTCCTGAGTTGCTAGGATTACAGGTGTGAGCCACCAGTGTATGTGTGTTTTTTTTTTTTTTGAGATGGGGGTCTTATTATGTTGTCCTGGCTGGCTAGAAACTCTTACCACTGAGCCAGACATTAATTTTTGCTTTTGATCTTATTCATTCTGAAAATAGGGGGAAAAATGATGCTTCCATTTTGAAAAAGCAAATGGTTACATATATTTAAAAAATGCTTATAATATGCAAAAAAAATGTGGGCTACAAATGTGTATATATCAGATTGTAAGGCCATAAAAAATTTTTGTCTGCACAGGAAAGGAACTGGAAGGATATTCACCAAAATATAAGAGCTAAGTTTCTTTACTGACATTATAGATATTTTTCCTGCATTTTTCTAATTTCCAAAACATTTAAAATACATCTAACATTTTCATATTTAAAATACATGTTAAATGATTATGAATTCATGAGTATTTATGATTTAATAGTAATAAGTATAAATTATAAATTGCTAGTTAATTTACAGTCTACCATAAATGATATGAACACCCAAAAACATGCACAGAAAGAATGCTCACTATAAATGCTATAAAAACAAAGGCATGAAGAAGCTAATCCTACAAACCAGTTTTCGACATCAGAATCCTGTAGGAATATGGTAGATCTAAGAGGCTCTGAATGGAAAATTATAGGTTTCTTTCCCTTTTTTGGTGGTACTGGGATTTAAACTCAAGGCTTCACACTTGTGAGGCAGGTACTCTACCTCTTGAGCCACACCACCAATCCATCTGGTCAGGTCATTTTAGAGATAGGGTCTTGTGAACTATTTGCCTGGGTTGGCCCTGCACTGCAACCCTCAGATCTCAGTCTCCCAAGTAGCTATGATTACAAGTGTGAGCCACTGGTATCTGTCTCAAACTCGGAATTTTATTTATTTATTTATTTTCACACCACTATAGTAATGAGGATACTTTTATTTTGACTTTGATAGAACTTGGGTTTGAACTTAGGGCTTTGCAGTTGGTAGGCAGATGCTCTATCACTTAAGCTGTGCCCCCCACTTTATGGCATTCTATCAAAATAATAAAACCACTTGGAAGGAACTAGAAGGATAGTCACTGAAATATTAATAGAGATCAGTTCCTTACATGGCAAAAGGACTTTGCAGATCTGACCAAGGCTAAAGATTGTGAGATTTGGAGATTATCCTAGATTATCCAGGCCCACTATAATCACTTGAGGCCTTATAATCAGAGAACCTTTCCCTGCTTCAAGACAGACAGAGAGACAGCAAAGTAAGAAAGACTTGGCCCAGTGTTCCTGGCATTGAAGACAGAGAAAAAGGTGGCAAGCCAAGGAACATGGGTGCTGCTAGAAGCTACAAAAGTCAGGGAAACAGATTCTCCCCTAGAGCCTCCAGAATGAAATGTAGCCCTGCTGACACGGAGATTTTGTCTGGTCAGTGAGACCTGTGTTGGACTTCGAACCTATGGGACTATATATTTGTGTTGCTTAGGTTACTAAATTTGGGTAATTTATTAAAGCAGCCATAGAAAACTAACATATTACTTTTCTCTGACTCACAGGAAGCATTAAGTCAGTAGATAAAATTAATATTTTTGTCCTAGAAGCTGTCCTTGTACTTTTGATGCTGCTACTGCCTCATCAGCTAGGGAATGCCAGAGGGTAGCAACAGAAAACCAGACAGAATGTCCTGTGAGGAGCCCCGCCCAGGCCTCTTAGGTGCTCTCATAACTAAAAACTTGTGAAAGACACTCAAGTTGACAACCACAGTCTACTGAGCAGCGGGTGGTGGCAGGTGCTTACTTGGCAGTTAAAGTAGAGTGCTTGCTCCCATTAGCCACAAGTCCCAAAATGGGCAGTTGCTCTTTGCAAAGAGTGTGCTGTGTGCCAGGGATACAAAAGCAGCCATGGTCCCCAGCATCAGAAATCCCACAGGGTGTTAAGTGCTATGACGCCAGGAGGCTCAGGAACATGTGAGTGAGCATCTAAGCTGACTTACCTTCTGCTAGAGGACCACAAAGTCAGGGAGTAAGTGCCATGAGTCTGATCCAAGGTCATGAGCTGGCTTTCCTCCCCACCAGCCCAGTGGGAACCTGGAGCTAGACCTACTGTGCAACACTCACCTGTTTCCACATCATTGGCATTAGCCGAGTCCCTCAGCCTCTTCAGAGCTGTGGAGAGAGTAAGAGGTAACAGTTTAAAGAAAGAAAGAAAACGACCCTGCTGAAATAGAAGATAGATGGCTTCCTAGTCTTCCCCATTAACTCACCCTTCAGCCACCATAGCACTGAAAGGAAGCAAGACTGTCAGAACACAAAACACTACTCTAGGAATAAGGAGAAACTTGAACTGTGCCACAGCTACAGCAGAGGCCACTTTCTGTAGCAAATCAGACTTCTGGAGCCAGATCTTATTTCTACCACTTGTAGTAGCTGGTGACCTTGAACAAGAAAGGTGACCCTCACCCCACCTCAGTCTATTAATCTGCAAAACAAGGCTAAATTGTCCCACCAGCTCTGAGTAGTTGCAAAGACAAAATGAAATGATTTAAATGGAAGACCTTTGTGAGTTGATTACACCAATAATCTTCTGTTCACCTTCAAAATAGGTCATTTCCAAATGACTTACCTAAATTTGGTAATTCCTAAGCAGAAAACTTTTTTCCCTTCAAATGATACCATCTCTGTATTAGAGCTAATAGAAAGCAATGTCTTTGACATCAGAGAAATGTGACTCAGCTGTAACAATTCCTTGCATTTATAGAGGACTTCAAAATTCTTTAATCTTTGTTGCACCACTAAGATACGGGTTGAATCATAGCCAGTCTGAGAACGGGCCATCATAGCCAGCCTAAAATTCCTGTCTTAATCTTTCAGGACCTCATTTCTCATGTCATCCATAAAATGTAGAAGACAAAACAGAAGAGATGCCAGAGCAGGAGTGTGAGTTTGGCTGCCTTGGTTCTTAACATTGGCATAGAACTTTCTATGTGACTTGGAATAAGACAATTTATGTGAGCCTCAGTTTCCTCTTTGGTAAAATGAGACAATTTCCATATCTTAGAGTTCTTGTAAGAATTACAAATGATAATACATCTGTCTGAAAGGAAAGATTTGATCTCTATGACATCTCATTTATGAAGGTCACAAGGTCAAAAGGTAATCTTTAGACTATGTGTCAAAAATGTAGGATTTAGGTTAGGATTTGGTGGCTCATGCCTGTGGCAGAAATCAGAATCAAGGTTTGAGGCCAACCCAGTCAAAAAAGTTAGTAGGACACCATTTTAACCAATAACAGAGACTTGATGGTACATCCCTGTGATCCCAACTGCACAGGAGGCATTGGTAGGAGGAGCCTGTCAGGGCAAAATTCCTGCCCCCTTCTGAAAAAAATGCAAAAAGGGCTGGGGTGTGGCTCAAGTGATAGAGCATCTGCCCAGCAAGTGCAAGATAGTGGGTTCAAACCCCAGTATCACCAAAAAAAACCCCCAAAAAACCACAAAAACAAAAAAACCCCGAAACCCACACAAAAAGTAGGATTTAGTACTGATTTTTCTCCCCACAAAGTCATGTAGCTACTTCTTATCCATTACAATGTATCTCTCATAGCGATAATAAAAGTTAAAGCAAAAACAAGCCAAACGATCAAGTGTCAGCAGCAGCGTTTAACGCACAGGAGAAGGCAAGATAGTAACTATGCACTCACTATTTCAAGTAACAGTCCTGCAAGGCTGAAAGGGGTATGCAGTTTGGATCTAAGTGTGGGAGAGCAGTCCAGTCCCGATCTGCGCACTGTAGAAGGTGGTACAACGTGGCCACAGGCTCTGGCCTCCCCCGCTCTGATGCTAAATATCTCCCCGTACCACGTATTATTAGCCAGTAATACGCACGCAGTCACGGGAAGTTTCTGCTCGGGAATCACCAAGTGAGAGAAGCCTGGGGTGACTTCTCTGAGCAGTTTACAAATAAACCCGCAGACCTGAGCGACTAGGATAGTAATTATCACTGATAGTCATTAAGGGAGGGGAGGTCGGGAGCCGGCGCTCCGAGGCCCTCACCGTGCACCTCCTTGCCGGTGGGCCCGAGCCGGCGGTGGGGCCTGGCGGCGCGCCTAAGCCGAACGGCGGGAATCTTACAGCGCAGCTCATCGCGCGGCTCCGCGTCCTGCTGCCACAGGACATGGAGGTAGCGCAGCGGGGACTGGGCCCCGCCGGACGCCCGGCCCGGGAGGCCTGGGCCGCCGCCCAGCGCAGACCCCAAATCGGCGAAGGAGAAGAGGCCCTCGGCTTCCGTCAGCGGCTCCGGCGCCACCGCGCACTCGCCGTCCGAGCTCGAACGGCCCGAGCGCGGCTCGTCGCCCGCGCCCCCGGCGGCGGCTGCCATGGTAACGGCTCCGCGCTGGCCTGACAACCTGAGCCTCGTTTCCAACCGACCAACGGACCCACTTCTCTCCTCCCTGTCTTGCTGTCAGCGAGAGAGCGGGCGGGCCGGGCCTGCAACCACGGCAACCGAACAGGAGGCGGGACCGGACCGTGAAGTCTAGACCAATAACGACCCTTTCCGCCTTCAGCTCGCAGCCAATCGGGCAAGGAAGGTATAGTACGAGCAAGAGAATTGGACAGGGTTTCCTGCAGGGTGACTGGCGAGCGTAAGAGCCAATCACAAACTTGTAGTGTCTACGGCCCTCGCTGTATGTCGCTACCGGAGCCAATAAACAGCTGCGTTTAAGAAACGTTCCCCTCCATTTCCCCCGTCGGATCATGGGAAATACGACAGACGTATGCTTTAGCCAATCACGTTAAGATGATCTGCAGCCAATCACGAAATAAAGTGAAGAAGCCACACAAGGCTTGGGTATAAATGTGTTTTAAATTAATGAGCACAAAAGATGAGCTTCTTACAAAATGCATAATATAAGTAGGAAAAGGAAAACATGCTGATATCCGGAGATACTACCACGAATCTTTCGTCAGAAATTACCTTGGTAACCCCGGGGTTAGTCACTGATTTACACAAAATTAAACATAATTAGGGTAACATTTCACTACAAATCGTGGCGCAAAGTTGTTAGTCGAAAAGTGATAGTTAGGTTATTACTAATAATTAGTTGTAGGATGCCGTACGCCGGTGGTTCACGCCTGTAATCCTAGCCATTTAGGAGGCAGAGATCAGGAGGGTGGGGTTCGAAGCCACCCTGGGCAAATAGTTCCCGAGACCCTCTCTCGAAAAAACCCATCACAGAAAAGGGTTAGTGGAGTGGCTCAAGGTGTAGGACGTGAATCCAAACCCAAGTACTGGAGGGGAAAAAAAAAAAAAAAAAAGGTAGGATGCAGGCTAGGGCCCCTGCAAATCCTAACAGTGGGCACATCGCACTAGCCTACACTTGACCTAAGGGTGCTGCAAGTATTCACACACATAGTAAATAAAACACAAAACACTTGGGAGAAAAAATACCTGTAACATTGCCTTGTGGGAAAAGCCTTTGCCTGGGAAAACAAGGACCTGGAGTCTACCCCTGTTCTGCCCTCACTTTGAGATTGTGGGCAAATGTCTCCCTTCTCTGGATTTCAGCCTCCCATCAGATGGTCTAGGTAGGATATGAATACTGGCTCAGGCCAGATTGAGCAAGTGGCTTCCTTTCCTTCTTTCCTTCACCCTGTTGCCTTCAGTCTTTTAGAGAAAGTTGAGTGGTTGCTAACACAGCTAGACGCTGGTGGCTCACTTCTGCAGTCCTAGCTACGCAGGAGGCAGAGATCAGGAGGATCACAGTTCAAAGCCAACCTGGGGACAACAGCACCACTGGTGGAGTGGATCAAGGTGTAGGCTCTGAGTTAAGAGCCCAGTACCACACACACATGCACACACATAAATAAAAAATTAAGGGCTTTTTAGTTGCAGATCCTCCTGAAACTAGAAAGATACAGCAATCCAGGACCAGCTTTCCCCCATGGCAATGGCTGGCTTCAGCTGCTCAGTAGATTTCCCATTTAGATGTGGCATGGTGTTCTGGTTTGCCATGGACCACACCACCCCATGTGCCCTTCTCACTAAAGCGTAAAGGTAGTTGTCATACTTGTGTTGTTCTTTAGTAGTGTTAACAGGAAATCAAACTATTCTTGTCTTTAGCAAAATGCAATAATGAAACCAATGGGAGGAAAATTATCTAGTATCTGAAAATATGGCAACAAGTATGACTTTGTGTGTGTGTGTGTGTGTGTGTGTGTGTGTGTGTGGTGCTAAGGGTCAAACTCAGGGCCCTGAATGTGTGAGCTCTCTACAACTGAACTGTTACTGTTACACCACAGCCCTGTGTGACTTTTAATATGTTAAACATTTCCAAGTGCACTGGGGTATAGTTCAGTAGTGGAGTGCTTCCCTAGCATGTATGAGCAGAGGGTTCAGTACTCAGGACCACAAAAAAAAAAAAAAAAAAAAAAAAAAACAGAGGAAGGAAGGAAGGAAAAAAGAAAGGGAGAGGATGGAAGGAAAGGGGAGGGAATGGAAGGGAAAAGAGAACACATGACAAGACAAGAAAAGAAAAAAGATACTTCTAAGACACCCACATAAAAAATATCTGAATTTCTGGGGAAATTACCTCTGACTAACAATTAGAACCCAGTGGTGTTTTACAACTCTGTAAAGTTATAGGTTACCTTGTAGAAAACTGATGAGGTACAATAATTTTTGTATGTCTACTGGAGAAGATAAGTACAAAAATTATGGTTTATTGCACTGTAGGACATGAAACAGGTTGGGTGTAACTTAGCAATCACATTTCCTTTGCCTCTAATTATTCTCACATTCAGTCCAAACCAGATCTGTCATACAGTTGCTTCCTTCATTAGCCATCAAAGATGCTCAGCCAGACGGCTGGTGGAGTGGCTCAAGTGGTAGAGCACCTGTCTAGCAGGCATGAAGCCCTGAGTTCAAACCCCAGTGCCACCAAAAAAAAAAAAAAAAAAAAAAAAAAAAAAAAAGAAAGAAAAAAAGAAAAAAAGTTCAGCCAAGCGCTGGGGCTCACCCATGTAATCCTACCTACTCAGGAGGCAGAGATCATTAAGATCACTGTTGGAAACCCACTCCGGGCAAACAGTTCTTGAGATCCTATCTCGAAAATACCCAACACAAAGAAGGGCTGGCAGAGTGGCTCAAGCTAGAGAGCACCTGCCTAGCAAGCACAAGGCCCTGAGTTCAAGCCCCAAAACCACCAAAAGGAAAAGAAAAAAAAGAGGTTAATTTTCTGTTGCTATGAGATTTTGTTTTGTTTTTGAGTTGGGGATCTTGCTTTGAACTCAAAATCCTCCTGCCTCAGCCTCCCCAGTATCTGGGATTTCAGGCACTTACAGATTTTTTTTTTGTGGGAGGGTTGGTGGTGGTACTGGGGTTTGAACTCGGCCTCAAGCTTACTAGGCAGGCAGTCTACCACTTGAGTCACTCTACCATCCCTTTTTTGTGGGGGTTATTTTTGAGATATTTTGGGTCTCATAAACCAGCCCAAGATGGTTTCAAAGTGAGATCCTCCTAATCTCTGCCTCTTTAGTAGCCAGGATTACAGACTTGAGCCACCGGCGCCCAGCTCTCTTTTGAGACAGGGTCTCACTATATAACCCAGGCTAGCCTGGAACTCCTACATAGCTCAGTCTGGCCTCAAACTTGATATCCCCTGCCTCCGCCAAGTGATTATAGTCTTGTGTCACCACAGCTTTATTTGTTTTGTTTTTGTGGTACATGGGATAGAATTTAGGGCCTCCTGTTTGCTATGCAGGCATTCTACCACTTGAGCCACTCCACCATCCCTATTTTTGTGAAGGGTTTTTTTGAGATAGGGTCTCACAAGCTATTTGCCCTGGCTGGCTTTGAACTGCAATCCTCCTGATCTCTGCCTCCTGAGTAGCTAGGATTACAGGTGTGAGCCACTGGAGCCCGGCCCTGGCTTGGTGTTAGTCTCTTTAAGGTATTAATCCTTTGGCTACCAAGTAAGTTTTGAAAAGTTAGTTATTTGTTATTAATTTTACTTATAATTATGAAACCAAATTTATTTAGGTAGAAATTATATAATCAAATCCCCATACTTCAAGTGTATAGGTTAGTGATTTTTGTTTTTGTCTTTTGTGTGGTGCTGGAGATAGAAACCAGAGCCTTGCAAATGCTAGGCAAACACAGCTCCAGCAGCTCTTATTCCCCTCTGCCTTCCTCTTTGTGGGACTGGGATTTGAACTCAGTGCTTTGTGCTTGTGCTCTATTGCTTGAGCCACACCTCCAGTCCTTAAGGTGTTACTTGAACTTGAATTTGATTTGCTTTTTTTTTTGTTTTGTTTTGTTTTGCGATACCAGGGCTTGAACTCAGGGCCTACATCTTGAGCCACTCCACCAGCCTTTTTGGTGTTAGGTATTTTCGAGATAGGGTCTCACTCTCACAAACTATTTGCCCAAGCTGGCTTTGAACCGAGATTCTCCTGGTCTCTGCCTCCTAAGGAGATAGAATTACAGGTATGAGCCACCGGTGACCAGCTGAACTTGAATTTAAGATAAAAGTCTGCAGAGCATGTATTGTGAGCTTCAGCTTGCAGATTTGGATTCAAAGGAGGTAGAACTTATTCAGAGGTGGCCTTCAGGTTAGGAACTCCTTTGATGATAGTCATTTGATTTGGAGGTAACCAAGTACATAAGCAGAGAATGGTTCTTGGTTAATTGCTTTCCAACCTTAAATTTACCCGTTTCATAGATGAAAAATGTAATTCGTTTGCTGGAGGTGTGGCTCAAGTGGTAGAGCACCGGCCTAATAAGTATGAAGCCCTCAGATCAAACCCCAGTATCACCAAAAAAAAAAAAAAAAAAAAAATCCCTCCATATACTCTTCAATTTTGCATTTAGCAAAGTTCTCAGTGAGTTAGGAATTTATTTTTTATTTTTTGTGTTGCTGGGGATGGAACCCAGAGCCTTGTTGCATGCTAGACAACTACTCTACCACTGAGCTGAGCTACTCTGGAAATCCTTGGGTTTTTAAGGCAGGGTCTCTATGTGTAGCACAGGCTGACCTTGAACTCTCAATCCCCTTGCCTCCACCTTCTACATACTGGGATTATAGGTATATACTACCATACCTGGTGTCTTTACTGGCCTTTTTAATATCCAGGAGGCCTCCATTTAAGTTTTGCTTTAGGAATCATATACCAGATGATCTGATTTGCAAAGTACAACTGTAGTAATGGGGGTGGGCAGGGGCATGGGCAATCATGCTCAGGACAGTGAAACAAACAGGACACGAGGTGAACAGCACACAGTCCCTACACTCATGAGAAGTACAGCTTGAAACAAATCCAGTTCAAGAGCCCAGGCCGACTATGAAATAGAACTGATGATTTCCCTAAGTCAGGGAATTTCCTGTCTCAGACCCCAGGCAAAAGGAGATCAAGAGAAACAAGGCAGCATTTCATCTGCTAAATCCTCTATTCCAGGGGCTTCTGTCTGCTCAGTTTCTCCCCCTTTGAAGTATTGCTTTTCCATTAGTGGAGGAGCCTTGCTAAACGAATCTCCTGTGATTATACATTTCATAGTCTGTATTGGAGTTTGCTGGCCAAGGTTGCATTTCTAAGCCGACTTACTGTGCTGTCAAGCAATGGACTGAGTTTCAACTCAGATGCAATTCTACCAATATGGGTTGAGGACAGAAGCAGGAAGGGTGAGGTCGCTATTACAACCGGTAAGATGTTTGGGGCTTAGACAAGAACGATAGGGACAGGTGGCAACACCTGAGAGTCAGGAATATATTTGGAGGTAGAGACAAGATTTGCAGATGCACTGAAAGTAGGGTATGATCCTGGCACCGGTGGCTCACACCTATAAACCTAGCTAATTGGGAGGCTGAGGGAGGCTAATGGGAGGATTGTAGTTTGAAGCCAGTCTGGGCAAATAGTTAAGACCCCCATCTCCAAAATAACTAGAGCAAAATGGTGTGGCTCAAGCAGTAGAGTGTCTGCTTTGCAAGTGGGAAGCCCTGAGTGGAAAGCTGAGAGTGAGAAGCTCGGTTTGGACATATTGTTATTAATAGTAGTATTAGTGCTGGGAATCAAACTCAGGGCCTTGCACATGATAGGCAAGCACTCTACCACTGATCTACAGACCCAGCCTTGGTCATGTTAATTTTTTTTTTTTTGTGGTACTGGTGTTTGAACTCAGGGCCTCACACTTGCTAGGCAGGTACTCTACCCCTTGAACCTCTCTGGCTGCCCCTGGACATGTTAATTTTGAGGTGCTTGTTAGACATCCAAGTACTCATGTAGCCCAGGAGTGACTGCAGGTGTTGAGGTCTGGGGTGAAGACACAAATTGGGGGTCAGTAGCTTATAGATGATATTTAAACATACAGAACTTAAGGAGCCACCAGGGAGTGAAAATAGAGAAGGGAGCCAAGGATCAGGTCCAGGGAACAGAGCAGGCCACCATTTAATGACCAGAGAGGTAAGGAGGAGCACACAAAGGAAAGTGAGAAAGAGTAGCCAGTGGGAAAGGTCCTTCCTTCATTTTCATTTGCATTGTGATTCCATACAGTGTATGTTCTGTGGGAGGTAAGACATCCTACATAATAATTAAATAGAATATATATTAGATGGTTACAAGCAGGGGATGCAAGTTTGTGATGCCTAAAACTTACATGAATAAAGAGTAAGCTGGTGGCATGTGTCTGTAATCCCAGCATTTCAAGAGGATGCAGCAGGAGAGGAGGAGTTTGAGGACAGCCTGGACTACAGAGTTAGACCCTCTCACTTTTTTTTTTTTGTTGCAGTATTGGGGTTCAAACTCAGGGCCTACACCTGGAGCCACTCCATCAGTCCTTTTTTATGATGGGTTTTTTTCCAGATAGGGTTTTGAGAACTATTTGCCCAAGGCTAGTTTCGGACCACAATCCTCCTGATCTCTGCCTCCTGAGTAGCTAGGATTACTGGTGTGAGCCACCAGTACCTGGCTGAGCCCCTTTCAAGGGGAAAAAAAAAATAAAAAATGGAGAGAGACAACACAAATGTCACAAAATCCAGATGTAGAGATCAGGCTGTGCCCTAATTTACTCCATATTGATAGAACAGTAGCCTTGCCCTGGATGACTGTTTTTTTTGGGGGGGGTAGTACTGGCAGAACTCAGGGTCAAGTGCTTTATCAGTTGAGCCACACCACCAGCCCCTGAATGACTCTATTTCATAAAACGGCAGTTGCTCCATTGTGAGGCAAATGCTGAGCAGAATGACACTACATCTTGTTTGTGCAAGGCAACAGCCACCACCTGTCCAGCAAAAACCATGAGGCACAGGCTGATAAACAATGTATTTATGCAAAATATTACCACTTACGAGCTTATCATATTAAATCAGGAACACATGGACACATGGGCCTGTCAAAATCACTAGAAAAACCAGACCTGTGAGTTTCTCAATCACACCAGCTGCGACTGCCACCCTCCCCCCCCATTCCGGGAATATAAAAAAAGCATCCTAAAATTGAGTTGTGGCTGGGCACTGGTGGCTCATACCTGTAATGCTAGCTACTCAGGAGGCAGAGATCAGGAAGATCATAGTTCTGGGCAAACAGTTCTCAAGACCATATCTGGAATAAACCCTTCACAAAAAAAGGGTTGGTGGAGTGGCTCAAGGTGTAGGCCCTGAGTTCAAGCTCTAGTACTGAAAAAAAAAAAAAAAAAAAAAGAGGTGTGGCAGGCATACTGACCCATGACCTGGTCACTCATCATGAGCCTTGTCCAGGAAAAGGATGTTCTTAGGCTTCAGATCAAGTGCAGTTTCTTCTGTCCATGACATATAACTTGCTTTAAACTGACACTCAAAACTGCCTGCCACCCAGACCTGAATTTGACAACTCTGTTCTGGGCAGCTCTACGCTTTCAGTTTGTAAAACTTCTTATCTGGTCTCCCACAGACTTTTCCTTCTGTCTGCATCAGTTCTTTGCCCCAGTACAGCCCCATCTGAACCCTGAAGTCCCTTATTATATATTGTATTATTATATATTTATATATATGTATAAATACATAATTGTGTCAAGTGTAATGTGTGATCTGAGAGTTAATATTAGTAATTAAGAATGCAATAAGGGCTGGTAGAGTGACTCAAGTGGTAGAGTGCCTGCGTAGCAAGCGTGAGGTCCTGAGTTCAAACCCCAGTACCACCAAAAAAAAAAAAAAAGATTGCAATAAGAGAACCTGTGATTGCCTATGGTCATGAATACTAACTGAAATCAAGAGTACTTGGTGCATTAAAGCCAACAATATTGACGTAGCTCATGAATTTACTGTTATCCTATACATTCTGACATTGTAGAAAGACACAATTGTGTTCACCTATGTTTCCATTATAGTTCACTCAGGACAGCAGAAAAGAAACATACTTGTTAATTTCTTGAAACACTTCCAAACTTTTACTTTCTTTTTTTTGACTGAATACACTCTGATCATTTTTGGGTATGAAAACAATTCTGTATTGCTATTTTTATAATGAGACTGGAAAGACAACTCAGTGTTTCCTCTAGCATTTTAGATCACATTAATTCATTAATAATTTATTAATTTTGCTGGGTATTGGGGTTTGAAGTCAGGACCTCATGCTTGCTGAGCAGATCCTCTACCACTTATGATGCATCCCCAGCCCTCAATCCTATTTTTTATTCTTAATAGCTTAGGAAAATTTCTTCTAACTTCACAACTTCTTTTTGTTACGTTGTTGAACGTTTTGCCAAATTTGGAGAACCTGTACGAAATTCTTTCACTGGGAGATTTCAGGTAGTTTGAAATTTTCTAATGTCTTGATTAACTTTAAATATTCTTCTCATTGTGGATACTCATTGACTACCATGGGTGGTAGGTATATCTTACACATGGAAAATCAGTAATAATTTAACTATACATGGAAGTATATCACATAAACATGTCCACAAACTTCATATGTTCCAAGGTGGATTTCCTCTAGCAGGATCCCAAACACCACCAGACACAAGGGGAACTATGACAAAGAGGAATCCAAGTGGAAAAAGCCACCTTAAGCAATTGCAATAAAAAATTACTTTGCAAATTTTCCAAAAACATGACCACATGAGCACATGATTGGGAACCTGCCTTCCTGGGAAATCAAGGAACCCCAAAGTTTAAGCTTCATTAGTTCTAGGAGTTTCAGGTTTCCTAGTAGATAGGAAACCTGTTGGCTGAGAAGGATGGTTAGGCTGGCAGAGGAGCTCAAATGGTAGAGTGCCTGCTTAGCAAGCACAAGGCCCTGAGTTCAAACTCTGGTACCATCAAAAATAAAAATAAAAATACATGCTATGGAGAATGATGGCTTGGATGTTGATAGGATTTGAATCCTGGACTGCTGACATTTAACAGAACAACTTGTGACATATGGGAAAGTTCTGCTGACCTGCAGTTGACACAGCCTGTGGGAAACAACAGCCCCTGCCCAACATTTTCTTAGAGATGATGCATAACCCAGTTCCTGGAAGTTAATGACACATTCAGCCCAGTTTTCCAGGACTGACCACCCCCATATCCACATATCCTCATAAAAGTTTCAGTTTGGGGAATCCCAGCACAGCGCTCCTGTGCCCATCCTTCCATCTAGAAGAGGGCACTTTTCCTTTCTTTCACTTTACTTTGCACTAATAAACCTGGTCCTTCTTAGGTCCATTCTGTATCTTTCCTCGAATTCTTCCTCTGATGAGACCAAGAATTTTCTGGCCTCTTGGACCCACGACCCGAATCCACTGACAGTTCCATAATGATTTTCACCTCTGGCCATACTGCAAGGAAGTAATAAGAATACAGCATAAGAAGATGGGGAGGGGCATTTCAATGCTAAGCAGGGTGCTCTGAGTGGACAGCACCAGAGCAAACACCTTAAGGAGGTGACACTGCCAGGCATGCAGACGGTTATGTGTGTGTGTGGGGGGGGACGGACGGGGACGGGAATGAATCCCAGAATCTAAACTCCTAGAAGAGCTTCCTAAAGGTAAGTGACGCTGTGTGACAATGAGACCCCGAGGGTGGCCCAGAGAGGGTGAGACTTGCTCCTGGCCACACAGCAAATAGGAGAATAGGGGCTGGAACGCACATTTCCTCCAGATGGTGCGTCTAGGCAGATCACTCAACTAAGGAACTTGATCTGAAACTGCCCTATGAACCTTACCACCCCATCCCATCTCTACCTCAAGGGCGTCCCGGGGACCGATACCCGAATCCCCCAGCCCCGCCGGAGTCGGAGTTGGAAACCCACCGGCAAGCCAGAGCTCTCAAGAGCTCGCGGGGTCCCGGCCTTGCGTCACGGCTGCCCCCATCTTCGCCTGCGGCGATCTTACTGGCCAAGGTTGCGGATGCCTTTACAGTGCCTTCTAACTGCATGGGATCAAGCCTCAAGTTTTACACTCAGTAAATTTAACCTTTTGAAGACATTTCTCGCCGCAGGCAAGCCGCTTACCAAATCAGGTCAGGCCCCCGACACCTGAATTTCCCTTACCGCCCGCGGAAGCGGTCAGCCATCTTTTGTGTGGCAATTCTTCTGGTTCTTCTTACTTAGTCCATCCTTTTGCAAAACTACTTAATGTCACCCACATTCTTTCACAGGCCTCTATTCGGGGGAGGAAGAAAACTTTGGTGGTTTATAGTATCTGCCCCTGCTATCGGAGCAGTCCGCCCGAGGCGCCGGGGGACTTCCGGTTTCCCGGCAGGCTCCAGCTGGGCCGAACTTCCGGTCCCGGGAGGCAGGCGTGGAGAGCTCCTTCCGCTCTCTTCCGCGGTGTTCTCGAGCGCCGTAGCCATGTCTTACCCCGCTGATGACTATGAGTCTGAGGTAATGTGGCCTTAAGCGCGTGGTGGCCTCCGCGACGGGGGCAGGGTTCCGTGGAAGCTGGGACCGGGAGCGAGGCGCTGTCCGCGCCTCTCCCGGAGGCCCCGCAGGCCGCGACCAGTTCCGGCCAGGTTCCCGGCGCGGCCCTCGTGCTGCTGGCCCCGCGGCTGGCTCCTCTCCAGTCCGGTCCGCTGGTCCTTCCCTTTTCCTCCGGGACGGAGGCGGGTTGTAGAGCTGTGCGTTTCTGGCTGAGCTCTTTTCATCTGGGCTGTGTGTGGTCGAAACTCGCTGACGCTGTGCTTTGCTCTGCCTCCTTGCACCCCTAATGCTGTCGTCGTTGTCTTTTCCTTTTCCTTTTCCTCGGAAGCATGTGGATTCGTCTAAGCTGGGCACTGTCTTACCTGCGCTTGTCCCTCGCTCTCTGCTTGGCACCGACGCTCTAGGACGAGCATTTTGGGTTTATCAGTTGGTGACTGCTCCTGACTGTGTCTGTTTCCTTTTAGGCTGCTTACGATCCCTATGCGTACCCAGGCGACTATGATATGCACACAGGTGAGACCACGGGTTTGTCTGGCTAACTCGGTACTGCAGGAATTGGCTGGGCTTGAACTCAGGACTTCGCACTTGCTAGGCAGGCGCGCTAATGCTCGAGCCACGCTTCCACGGCCCAAACTGCTTTTTGATGGTCCAGGTTTGGCGTCTGTCATTAGCTCTGAGTGAGAAAATCGTGTATTGTAGAACCTGATAAACCAGGCTTTTTTTAATGGGCCACCTCATGGTCTCAAAAGAGAAGGTTACTGATCTGGCTATGTTTTCCTTGTTATTATTTATTAATCTTCTTGCTGAATTGGGATGGAACTCCCGACCTTGTAAATGCTAGGCAAGCACTCTACTGAATACAACCCCATCTCTTGTTTAAATTGCTAGCTGAAGATGATAGTATTTGTGGGGTTTTTTTGTTTGTTTTGGTGCTGAAAATTGAACCAGGGCTTCCTGCATGCTAAGCAAACATCCTGAGCTACACCCCCAGCTCCTAAAAAGAAAAACAAGTCCAAGCAAAATCTTTTTTGGGCTTCTAAAGTTTCCTGAAATATTGTAGTGCCTTGTCTTAATTTAGTGCTTGGCAAGTGTGTGTTCTGGGCACTTTGTGTGGAATGTTTCATTTAATTCTTAAAATAGTTCTATAATTTTGTACTGAAGGTGACAAAACTGAACCAGAGAGAACTTTAGTAACTTGCTACAAGCTATTTAGTTAGAAGGTGGCAGTTACTCAATATGAAGTGTTGTTACCATTTACCATTGTGTGTTGTCCCTTCCCCATCCCCCAGTACATCTGTGTACAGGACAAAGTTCTTGGCCTCAAAGGGTTTTTAAGATTCTAGGGCAGTAATAACTGTGGGAGAGGATTAAGGAGAATAACGGAGGGGATGAATTCAACTATGATATATTGTAAGAACTTTTGTAAATATCACACCGTATCCAGTGTAACAATGATGTGATAATTTAAAAAATATAATTAAAAGAAAGAATAACTTTAATTTTAATTGTGCTGAACACAATGGAATGATGGGACTGGGAGTGACTTGGGGAGGGTTATATCTCTTGAGTGTTTAAAGTGGAATTTTATTAGTTTTTATAGACTGGTGTAGTTCTTACGTTGAGTCACATGTATGGGTTTGAAAGCACTATGTAGGGCTGGGGTAAGTGGTAAGAGTACCTCTGTAACAAGCATAAGGCCCCGCCGAGTTCAAACCCCAGTAGCACCAAAAAAAAAAAAAACAAGAAAACACTCTGTAAAGTATTTAAGTATTTATTGCATCCAAACTCTAGGAGATCCAAAGCAGGACCTTGCTTATGAACGCCAGTATGAACAGCAGACCTATCAGGTGATTCCCGAAGTGATCAAAAACTTCATCCAGTATTTTCACAAAACCGTCTCCGATTTGATTGACCAGAAGGTGTATGAGCTTCAGGCCAGTCGTGTCTCCAGCGATGTCATAGACCAGAAGGTATATGAGATCCAGGACATCTATGAGAACAGGTACGGGCTACTGACTGAAATGATATTTTTTTGGGTAGACCCAGCAGAGTGGTGCAGCCTCTGCAAAAGAGTATGTAGCCAGTTCATGCCTGTGATCCTAGCCACTTGGGAGGCAGAGATTAGGAGGATTGTGGTTTGAAGCCAGCCTGTGCAAATAGTTCATGAGTCCCTATCTTGAAAAAAACACGTTACAAAAAAGAGCTGGTGGAGTGGCTCAAGGTGTAGACCCTGAGTTCAAACCTCAGTACCACACACACAAAAAAGAAAAAGTACTATGTAATCATTTTTCTGTGATGAGGACTCAGGATATCTTTGTGATTCCTTGGGGATAGAGACATGCTACTTAGTTGGATTTTGTATCTGCCAAAACTTACACAAGGCCTAAAACAATATCACTATTAATAATTGTAATACTAGTAATTAGCATATGTTATCAGTATAGATCAAGCAGTGTTAAAAGTGCTTTTTGTTTATTTACTAATTCACCTTTCACAGTAACCCCATAAAGTAGGTACTGTGGTTTTTCTTACTTTTCAGTTGAGGAAATGGGACAGAAATAAGTCATACTGCTAGTTAAGTGCATGGGCTATGTTAGTATTTTGTTTGTTTTTTCATGTTACTGGAATTTCAACTCTGGGTCTCATACTTGCTAGGCAGGCACTGTAACAAGCCACGCCCTACCCCCCCAGCCCTTTTTTGCTTTAGTTACTTTTCAAATAGAATAATGTTTTTGCCCAGGGCTGGCCTTGGACTGTGATCCTCCTGCCTACACCTTCTGTGTAGCTGAGATTAGAGTTATGTACCACCCTACCGGCTTGTTTGCCCCCTAACCTTGAAGCCTGATCCTCCCAATATCGCCCTCCCTAGAGCTGAAAATTACCAGTATGCATCTCCATGCAGGTTTTGAATGTGCATGGTCTGATACCAGAGTATAATTTTTTTTTTTTTTTTTTTTTTTTTTTTTGGTGACACTGGTGTTTGAACTCAGGGCCTCATAATTTGCTAGGCAGGTGCCTTTACTGATGGAGCCACTCTACCAAGCTTTTTTGAGATAGGGTCTCCAGAACTATTTGCCTGGGGCTTGCTTTGAACTATGATCCTCCTGATCTCTGCCTCCTGAGTAGCTGGGATTACAGGCGTGAGCCAGTGCCTGGCTCAGAGTATGATTTCTGAACTATGCTATACAACCTTTCAGTGCACACCAGGATGAACCAAGCTCTGGAGTGGTTTTGAGAGGACTGCTCTCATAAAATGGGCACCAGAAATAAGACAGGTCAGTCAGGGATGAGACAGTACAAATTTCACCAAGGAAACAATTTAAGCATGTTCTGGAAGGATGGGGGTGGAGAACTTTATAGCTAAAAATCTGTTGGATCAATGACCAGGAGATGATCTTTTTTTTTCCCCAGTATTGGGGTTGGAATTAAGGGTCCGTGCTTGCTAGGCATATGCTGTACCATTTGAGCCACTCTGCCAGCCCAGGAGTTGATTTGTTATCTGTTTCCTCGTTCCTCATGTTTTTCTACAGTACTGGGGTTTGAATTCAGGGCCTCATACTTGCTAGGCAGGTGCTCTTAGTACTTGAACCTCTCTACCAACCCGCATGTTTTTCTGATTAGAACTGCATGAACTAGTACTATTCAGTAGAAATGCAGTGGTAGCCACATGTCATTGTAGTAAGCAGCTACATTTCTTTTTTTTAAAGTAAGAAGTGCAAGTTTATCTAAAATATTATTTCACATATTAATAATATAATTTATAATAATTATAATTAGTATTTCAAAAGTCATAAGAATTTACTCTCTTTTTGAGTGAGTGGTGTTTGAACTCAGGGCTTTGAGCTTCCAAAGTAGGTGCTCTAACATGACTTGCACCTCTAGTCCATTTTGCTCTGGTTATTTTGGAGATGGGGTCTTTCATACCATTTACCTGGACTGACCTTGAGCCATGATCCTCCTGGTCTTAGCCTTCCGAGGAGCTAGAATTAAGTTTTCTAAATCTGGGGCCATTGTGGTGGTTTACACTTGTAAACCACCCAGATACTCAGGAGTAGAGATTTGGACTGATTGCAGTTCTAAGCTAACCTGGGCAGAAAAGTTAGCTGCACTCCTCCATCTCAACCAAAAAGCAAAAAGATGTTGGAGGCATGACTTAAGCATGAAGCCCTGACTCAAAACCCCACTACTGCCCCTCCCCTTCCCTCCCCCCCCAAAAAAAAAATCTGCACTTGTTTTACATTGGTAGCACCTCTTATTGTGTACTTTGGAAATACTTTGATCTGTAATTGGATTTCATAAAACTTACAATTGGAAAAGTAGATTCCCATACCCAAATCATTTCAAATATACCTAAATATTTTCCAATAATTGAGTAAAATACTGATTTTTAAACTTTTATTAAAAGTAAAATTTTAAATTCAGTTCTTTAGTTATGGTAGCAGCATGTAGCTAATGATTATTGTATTGGCCAGTGAGGCATATATATAAATGGTAGTTGAAGCCAAGCATGTGGTAACTAGATCCTTCCTTGGGAGAATGCCATGAGAAGAATGGCTGGTCCCTCTGGAAGCATGTTTCTTTAGGGGATGGGTGTGCAGCCAAAGAGCATGGAACCAGTAAAGGAGACTGAAGAGCAGAAAGAAAAGTGGGCAAGAAATCAGAGAGAAATGTCTTGGGAACCAAGGTTTTCAAAAGAGACTTTGAAGAAGGGAATGGTCAACAAACATTAAGTGTTGTTGTGATGTCAAAGTGAGAAAGGAGCCTGTTAAATTTTGCAACGTAGGGGTTTCTTGATAACCTTAGGAAGGTGAGTTTCCACGCAATAGTGGAGGCAGCAGCCAGATAGCAATGAGGTGAGAAATACAAATTGGTGAATATAGAGGATTTGCTGGGCCATTGGGAAGCTTTCTATTTTGTTCTGTGTTTTGTTTTCCTTTTGGTGGGAGAGGGGTACTGGGGTTTGTACTCAGGGCCTCACACTTGGTGAGAAGGCATTCTACCACTTCAGCTACTCCATCAGCCCTTGTTCTGTGTTTTGAAATGCGAGCTGACCTTGTTAACATGCCAGAGAAGAGGAAGAGATGGGGCTTGAGAGTTGGGGAAAGTAGCTGCTAAAGTATCAGGAAAGGAGAAGGGAACAATGACTTCATGTCGGTTTTTAAAGTAGCAGTATTCAGATTGGATGCTAGATCTGTTGTGGCATCAGACTGCAGCAGACAGACTGATTTGCTTCTGAGTTTGGAGGTGACTTTACCCTGGGAGATGAAACTGTGTATATGGGACTGGAGCAGGTGAGTCCGAAAAGTGGTTCTCATACCAGGAACTAGCAAGCAGTTAAATATGACTACAGTTGATTCAGAGACAGGAGATGACCTGAGAAGCTTGATGGGTGCCTAACTGATGTAAAAGCAGTGTTTACTGTTCAAGTTGAGTATCCTTTAACTAAAATGCCCTTAACATCAGAAATGTTTTGGATCTCACATTTGGGGATATTTGTATATACATCATGAGTTAGCTTTTATATTTGCATATACATAATGAGTTATCTTGGGGAGGGGATCACAGTCTAAACATGAAATTCATTTTCATTTACACATAGCCTGAAGATAATTTTATACAATATTTTTAGTTTGCTTGCATTTTTGGTTTTGTTTTTTTTGGTGCTGGCTGTTCAACCTAGGGCCTGATACATACTAAGCACATGATTATTCACTGAGCTACACTCCAGCCTTTGCCTGTGGGGTTTTTGTTGTTTTGTTTTTGGCTATTTTTGGGTAGTACTGGGGTTTAAACTCATGGCCTTAGCACTTGTGAAGCAGGCACTCTACTACTTGAGGCATTCCACCAATCTTGTGCCTATGTTTTGACTGTGACCCATCACATGAGGTCAGGACGGGATTTTCTACTTGTGGTGTTCCATTAGTCCCCAGAAGTTTAGAGATTTTGGAGCATTTTGGATTTGCAGGTAGGAATCCTCCAGTGGTATTAAGAAAGGTCTACAGGACTGAGTTGAGTTAAGTTGTATGCTTTGAGGGCTATGGCTCTGTTTCTGTGACATCTTCCCCTCTCTGACCCTGGGTCCCCATGAGTAAAATATGAGGGTTGGGTCCTTCATGTTTTGGAGTTATAGAATTTTTCTGCTTGGTTTTCAGCTGGACCAAGTTGACTGAAAGATTCTTCAAGAATACACCTTGGCCTGAGGCTGAAGCCATTGCTCCACAGGTTGGCAACGGTAGGTGTGAACACTTTGTCTTCTTTGCTAAATTGGATGCTGTCACTAGGGTCATGAGAGGATTTCTGTCTGTTTTGCTGAGTGTTTTGTTTCCCCAGACTCTTGGTACATTGTAGGTTGCTAGTAAAATAACTTGTTGAGTGAAGGCTATAATTTAGTAGGAGACAGAGGTCTCTCATGGTGAAAGTTGGAATTGAGCTCTTGGTCCTAACTTGTTTTCATTTCCCTCAAATTTGGGGGCCACTTGGGAGTGGTTATGCAAGCCTCTCACCTTTCATTTTCTTAGCTGTTACCTTTTTGAATATGGGTGAGGTAGGCAGATCCAACTTTTTTTGAGGGGGGGGAGGGGAAGGTGGTAATGCTGGGGTTTAACCCAGGACCTTGCACATGCTGAGCAAGTGCTCTACCACTGCCCCAGTTTCTATCTTCATTATTTAGCATATGATATTCAGCTGTCCCAGAACACTTTTTTGTTGTTGTTGAGATGCTGGGGATTGAACCCAGGGCCTTGCACATGCTAGGCAAGTGTTCTACCATTGAGCTATATTCCTAGTTCCCATTGTCTTGGTAACCTTGTTGAAGTCAGGTGTTCTTACAGATAAATACTAGTTTACTTCTGAACTTGCTCTTTGTCTTTGATATATGTGTCCTTAGATTCATAGCATATTATCTTGATTACTGTTACTTTGTAGTTAGTTTTGGCATCAGGAAGTGTAAGTCTTCCAATGATTGACTTTGTTTTCAAGGTTGTTTTGCCTCCTGGGTCACAGTGGCTCACACCTGTAATCCTAGCTACTCAGGAGGGTCACATCTCCTATCTGGCCCAGGCAAATAGTTTGTGAGACCCTATCTCAAAAATACCCAACCCAAAAAAAGGGCTGGCTGAGTGGCTCAAGTGATGGCATGCCTGCCTAGTAAACATGAGGTTCTCAATTCCTAGTACCACCAAAATAAAAAAAGAATTTAGTGTTGTGTATATTAAGAACCTAAGTGTCCTATAAGATACATATATTTGAAACAGGTAAGAGTTCATGGAGCTCAAAATGTAAAAAGTAATTTGGTATAAAAATCCCTCTCTCTTTTGGGAGTCTTTAGTGTCTCTGGAGTGTTACATTTCTCTGTTTATTCTTTCTGTGATATTTCTATGCATATATAAACGAATAAGAGTAACTTTTGTTCTGTTTTTACATAAACACATAACTAAACTCCCTTGTGTGTGTGTGTGTGAGTGAGTGTGTGTGTGTGCGTGTGTGTGTGTGTGTGTGTGTGTGTGTGTGTGTGTGTATGTGTGTGTTAGTTATTTTTTTCTTTCCTGGAGATAGTGGGGATTTGAACAGTTACTTCACAGTTACTAGATGGTGCTCTACTGTTTGAACTATACTTCCAGCTGTTCTTACTTGGTTATTTTGGAGTAGGGTCTTTTTGCCTGTACTGGCCTGGAACTGTCATCTGTCCTCCTGATCTCTGCCTCCTGAGCAGCTAGGATTACAGGAGCCACTGGTCCCTGGCTTGCATTATATTTAACTTATATTTTTGGAAACCATTCTGTATCTCTAGGGGTTCTCAAGTCCACCCCCAGGTTTTATGATTTGCTAGGAAAACTCTGGACCCAGCATGTGGTTGTACTCATAGCTATGAGGTTTATAGGAAAAGGATACAAACTAAAATTAGTAAAAAAGGTAGAAGGGACTAAATTCACAGAAACCAGTCTCAAGCTTCCAAAGCTTCTCTCCCAGTGGAGTCTTGTGGTACTCAATTCCTCTGGTAACAAGTTGTGACAGTGTATAAAATACCTGTCAGGAAAGCTCATTAGAGACCCAGTTTCCAGGACTTTTTATTGGGGCCTGGTCATATGGTACATTCTGCCTAACACTTACAATAACAAATTCCTGATTCCTTGAAGGAAAGAGGTGCTTTGTATAAATCTTATTGTCTGCATAAACAATACCGCAGGCTACTCTTACCTGTTGAGGAATGGTGGGAGCCCTTCTGAAATCGTGGTTCCCAGATGTCAGTGAGAGATCAGTCCTCCAAGCAGGCCTTTCCAAGAGCATCAGCCTCAGGTCAGCTGTGTTTAATTCTTATGCACAGCAGCGGTTCCTAAAGATTCTTTTTCTCTCCTTTTTTGTTTTTTTTTGAAACAGAGCCTGACCTCAAAATTGAGATCCTCTTGCTTCAGTCTCCTAAGTGCTGGGATACAGGAATGTGCCACCACACTTGGCTTTTTTCTTTCTTTTTAATAGCTGCATTAATCTCTGTGGGGGTTTTACTATTTATTTGCTAGTTTATTTAAGCAGTTGGGATGACAGAAGTCTAAATGGTGCAAGAAAGTAAGTTTGAAAAAGATTAAAATAAAAGCCAGGTGTTAGACCTTTTCAGAAAACAAAATACTAGGGTAGAAGGAGAAATGGATTTTTTCATTGCATGTGTTCTTGGAGCATAAGCATAAGGAGACAGATGTTGTTTAGTCTGTCTTTATTCCTCCACCCCAAAAGCTAGAAGACCCCAAGTATTTAAAGCACCCTTCTGCCATGTCTTTCAGATGCTGTATTCCTGATTTTATACAAAGAATTATACTACAGGCATATATATGCCAAAGTCAGTGTGAGTATTTTATTTAAGTGTTATTGGCATTTTTTTTTAACTGTATGCTGTTTTCATCCCTAGAACAGTCACTAGTTTATTTTGGTTCCACATCCAAGAGTGGTTCACACGTATAATTTTTTTAAATTTATTTTTATTGTTGTGCTGGAGATACATCGTGGCATTTACAGAAGTTCTTGCAACATATCAAATATATTATACTTGAATTCACCTTTCCATCATTCTCCTTTAACCCCCTCTCTCCATTCCTGGAATAGTTTAAACAGGTTTCGTTTTTCCATTTACATACACGTGTGCACAGCATTTGCACCATGTTCACCCTCTATGCCCTTTCCCCACATTCTCTCCGTTCCCATTGATACCAGCCCCCCCCCCCCAGGACCTATTTGGCCCTCGTGTTTTCTGATTTTGTCTGTGTTTTCTTTGAATAAATGGCAGAGGGAATGATTTAACCCAGGGTATCTGTTCCAGACAAACTTAACACTACATAATCTATCTGGTCTTTGGAATGTCTCCATTCCCATGGAGGCATGGTCACTTACTACCATGTGTTATGTATTATAACCTTCTAATAGAGTATTCCCAGTCACCTTCTGTTGACTCTGCTTGGGGTGTCCTTTTTCCCTTCATTGTGTTGCCCCCCCAAGCCTCCTTCCCTCTGAAATAGCATACAACAGAATTACTGTGTTCAGGCATGATGCTAGGCACTTGTCTCTAATCCTCAGTGGTCCTGCAACATGGTAACAGAAATGCAAATTTTTGTCACTAGTAAATGGCAAAACTCCTTGAACCTAGGCTTGTCTTATAACACCAGTGTACTACACACTGTCTCAGCTTGGGGCACTTGCTAGATTCTGTTCTTTCTAATTATGAATTTTAGAGTGTCCCAAGTCTTAAAACATCATATATACTATTTATGTTCACTAATGACTTCAAAATCTCTTTTTCCTCATTCTCCACTGAAGTCTAGAACTATGTGTCCATCTGACTGCTCAGCTTCCCTGCTTGTGCATGGATAGTTTTCTCAAGCTTAACACTCCCCACACTGAACTCTTGTTTTCCTTTAAACCCATTCTTCCCAAGTTCACAACTTGATAAGCAGTACCACCATTGACATAGTTAATTGGTCTGCAAACATTGGCAGCATTCTTGATACTTCTCTTACTGTACATAGAACCTTATAGCCAATCCTATCCAGCTGTCTTGAGCATACTTCTCGAACCAACCACTTTCTTCTGCCACCTCTGGTGCTTCCATGGCTCAAGTTATCTTTTGAGATAGAGTTTTGCCAAGCTGCCTAGACTGGCCTCAAACTTTCAATTCTCCTGTCTCAGCCTCTAGAGTAGCTAGGATTACGGGCATGCACCACCATGACACCCGGTCATTGTCATTATGTCTTGACTGGATCATTGTGGTAGCTGCTCCCCTGTTGTCAGTTTCCATTCTTGCTTACTTAAGTTTGTTCTCTGCACACTCACCAGCATGATCTTTTCACTCCCTTCCTCATGGTCCTCCCATGACTTCCCATCATACTTAGCAGAAAACCTAGGTTTGAGTGATTGCCCTGCTACGCTTAGCCCCTGACTCCCTTGCTGGTTTAATTTCCTTCAGCTTTCCCCTTCCTCCCTGGGCTACTAGCACTTCAAAACACTCATCACTAACATATTTATTGGTGGTTTATTTGAGGTCTCTGCTTCTCCCACTAGAATGTGAACTCTACCAGGGATTGGACTTTGTCTTGTTTACTGCTGTAATCTAGTACCTAAAACAATGTCTGATTTTTTAATAGGAACATGTTAATTATTTGAGCATGTGTGCAGTCGTGGGGATGAGTAAATGAAAGAAACTGCTGGGCCAGGTGCTTGTGGCTCATGCCTGTAACCCTGGCTACTAGGGAGGCAGAGATCAGGAGGATTGAGGTTCCATTCCAGCCCCCGGGCAACAAAAGTGAGACCTTATCTCAAAAAATACCCAACGTGAGCTGGGCACCCATGCTCACACCTGTAATCCAAGCTACTTAGGAAGCAAGAGACCTGGAGGATTGAGGTTTTGAGACCAGCCCTGACAAATAGTTCATGAAACCCTGTCTCAAGAATACCAAATACAAAAAAGGGCTGGCAGAGTGGCTGAAGTGGTAGAGTGCCTGCCTAGTAAGCATGAGGCCCTGAGTTCAAACCATTCCTTTCCCCCACCAAAAAAATTCAGTTTATGCACTTCATAATCTCTTTGGTAGGTACCAGGCTTCCACATTTGTGATCAGTTTTAAGCCTCTTGAGGGAAGGTTTTTTATTGAATGAGTATTTGTTGTATAAGGTACATTATCTTACTTAATGTAATAGTCACAATCTTTTGTTCGTCATACAAAGAGAGTAAATGCCTTGTCAGAACTGCACAGTTAGAAAGTGATGGGGCTAAGTCTCCACAGCATTTCTTTCTATCCCATCACAAATACATTAGTCACTGTTGTTTTCCAGCTCTGACAGAAGTCTTCAGTGGTTCTCAGCTGCCAGCCACAGAAAGTTTGAAGTCTGACCCTTCTATGTGAAGGGCCAGGTAGTAAGTATTTTAGATTTTTAGGGCCATTTGACTCTGTTTAATATATTCAGTCTACATGGCTGTTGCTTTCCCTAAGACTATTTATGAAACAGGTAGTGGAGTGAATTTGTTTACCCACTGATCTGGCGCTTTTTTTTTTTGGGGGGGGGAGACTGGGGTTTGAACTCAGGGCTTTGCACTTGCAAAGCAGGTGCTCTAACTCCAGTCCATTTTGCTCTGGTTATTTAGAGATTGGGGGGCGGCGGGGGCTCTCATGAGCTGTTGTCTGGACTGGCCTTGAACCATGATCCTCTTGATCTGAGCTTCTAAGTAGATGGGATTACAGGTGTGAGTCACCGATGCCCGACTGACCTAGCTTCTTGTGTTTGGCAGTGAAAGACCTCTCCATTTCTGGCTCATTGTCACCTCTAACTCTCTGATCTTCAAGTGCCATAACTTTACCTCTTTGCCTTTTGTTACTGTTATTTTTCCTGAGAATGTGTGCTCATTCTCTTACGTGAGTGAAGGTCTGTGGTCATCAAGCCTGGCATGTTGTCCAGTGTTAAGCAATTTTTTTTTTTTTTTTTGAGATGATACATGGGTTTGAACTCAGGGCTTCAGGCTTGCCAGGCAGAGGCTCTTACCTCTTGAGCCACTCTGCCAGCCCTTTTTTGTGATGGGTTTTTTGGAGATAGGGTCTCTTGAACTATTTTCCCAGAGCTGGCCTGATCTCTGCCTTCTGAGTAGTGGAGATTGCATGCATGAGCCACGGGCACTCAACTTCTACACCTCTTCTTCTGAAGTACTCGCTCTCTTCCCTCTCTCTCGAGTGCTCTTGCATACAGGGGAGGAGAGGACAGGTACCAGTTTTCATCCATTGTAGACCATGGGTCAAACATTTAAGTTAAATATCTGTGTCCTGATTTCTCTGTTCTCTTTACAGGGCGGACCCTCCTTAGAACAGAGGTTTGAATCCTATTATAACTACTGCAATCTCTTCAACTACATCCTTAGTAAGTCTGAGATTTGGATGAGGGGGTGAAGTTATGGTGGGGGCCTCCAGCTCTTTTTAGCAGGATTTTAATGTGTGGATGGGGGGAGGGGAGGTCTTGGATGTATAATCCTTTGGTGAGAGAAATTGCAAAGAGCATTCTGCAGCTCTAATAAATGGGCAAAGTCACTCCTTGAATCTGACTTTTCTATGCTCTATACAGATGCTGACGGGCCTGCTCCCCTTGAACTACCCAATCAGTGGCTTTGGGACATCATTGATGAATTCATCTACCAGGTATCTGTTCTGCTTCAGTCTTAATTTGAAATAACTGATTCCAGAGAGGAGCAACCAAGACCATTGTTTGCATTGTTAAATAGATGCATGATAGCAAGGAAAAAAAGTTGCATGTTGTAAAAATACCGTACTATAAAATACCCCATGGCAGTGGACTCCCCATGTTGGGTGGTTTTCTGAAGGAAATGGCAAAGCATAGATACTCCAGATATAAACTTGGAAGTCAGAGTTGAGCTCTTAACTTCCACCAGCTTGTTATCTGACCTTGAGAGCTGATCTGGCAGGCACACAGGTCCCAGGCTTTGGAGCCAGGTGGAAATAAGTTCTAGTCTGTGGGAGCTGCCACCTGGTAGCTGGGGAACAGTATCATACTATTTAAGCTTTCTGAGTCTACTGTCTTCACCTACAAAACAGAAATGTTCTGTATCTTGGTTTTGGTGGTGGTACTTGGGTGTGTGCCAGATCAGAACGCAATGGCATATTTTCTTACTGGAAGAGAAATGTCACCAGCCTCAGTGCTGTTTTTGGTTCCACAGCACTGAGAATCCTCCAAGGTGGGCAGGCTGGAGGTAGAAGTTCAGTGTTGCTACTGGCCTTGGACGTTGGGCACTTCACATTGTGTGTTGGCTTCTGCATTTCTAACACGGTTGTTGGGTTGTTGGGAAGATTAATACTGGGTCGCTACATAAAAAGTGCTCTCTTTGGCAACACATATGCTAATATTGGAGCTCTATAGAGAAGATTAGTCCCCTGGGGGAAAAAAAAAATTGCCCAGTCATGGGATAATCAGTGAATGTTCTTATATTTCCTTCTACCTTCGTTTATGTGACTCAGTTTTAAAAATAAAATGTAGAATTTGGAAAAATAGAATCCTTTCCCTTTGTTTCATGGAGGTGGTATGCCTCTCACAGGGTACTTCAGGGGAAATCAGTATCATAAAGATGTTATTTGAGCTCCACAGAGAGACACTGTAGGTACAAAGTGCTGGTAAGTTGTGATTGACAAGCTTTGATTGATTCCTTCTTGAGAAGGCTTCAGGCTCAAGATGGGGCTTCAGGGCCTTTCACAGTGAGGTCACACACCAGGTTGGCCTTGTTTGGCCTCTCTGGCCCCTCATCTTGCCAGCCTCTTACTTGGCTTGGCATACTTTTAGGTGGTTGGCTGTCCTGTTGACTCACACGAGTGGAGGAGTATCCTGGGCTGAGGTTCTTCATCCCTCTTAGGATAAGTTCAATTCCCCAGGCTTAGCGGGTGTTCTCTTGTTAAGGGCTTTTCATTTCCACAAAGACTATCCCATGAGGGTTCAGGAGTGCCTGTATGACTGTTCTGTCAGGTAGATGCCACACAGGGTGAGTGACTCTCCTCATCACTCTCTTTATTTTATTAATTCAGGTACTGTATGAATGTGTTACTAGTGCTAAGAAGTTTGTAACATGGAAGTGTAGATAAAATAAAAATGCCTACCCACACCTTCCTTGCCTTTGCATAGGCATGAATTATTATGTAGAAGGAAAGGTACCACAGTAACAATTCTTGGGCATTTATATAAACCTGTGCCTGTAGAGACATGGGTTGGAAATGATATTAAGTGCTATCATATCATTTCTTTGATTTGGAACACTAAAGGCTGAACTCCAGGCCTCAAGCTTGCTGGGCAGGCACTCACATTTGAGCCAGGCTCCCAGCCATTTCTCCTTTGGTTATTTTTGAGATGGGATTTGTGTTTATGCCCAGGCCAGCCTGGGTCTCGGTCCTCCTATTTGTGTTTCCCTATATATCTAAGGTGGATATCAGGCATGCCCCATACCCAGCCATTGGTTGAGTGCCTGGTGAATTTTTTAGCTGGGCTGGTCTTGAAAGTCAAGCTTGCCAATCTCTGTTGTCTCCTGAGTGGTAGGATTATAGGCTTCAGCCACTGTGCCTGTCCAAAACACTTTGAGTTCATGCAAGCACTTAGAAGGATCAAGAGTTTGAAGCACTCCAGGCACAGGTGGCTCACACCTGTAATCCTAGCTACTCAGGAGGCAGAGATCAGGGGGTTCATGGTTTGAGGCCAGCCCAGGCAAATAGTTTGTGAGACTTTATCTCGAAAATACCCAAACAAAAAAAGGAGTGGCGGAGTGGCTCAAGGTGTAGGCCCTGAGTTCAAGCCCCAGTACCGTTAAAAAAGAAAAAAAGGAAGTTTGAGGCCAGCCTGGGCTACCTAGTGAGACTTTGTCTCAGAAAAATAAAGAAAAGATTTAGAGTGAGAAGTGCTTGTCCTGTTCTAACATTTCCTTTCCCCAGTCCAGAGCCCTGGCAGCGCCTCTTCAGCACTGTGCATAAGGGTTGTCATTTGGGTTTATGCCCTGCTACATCTTTCTCTTCTTCCTCAACAGTTCCAATCATTTAGTCAGTACCGCTGCAAGACTGCCAAGAAGTCAGAGGAGGAGATTGACTTCCTTCGTTCCAATCCCAAAATTTGGAATGTTCATAGTGTGCTCAATGTCCTTCATTCCCTGGTGGACAAATCCAACATCAACCGGCAGCTGGAGGTGTACACAAGTGGAGGTGAGCACTGCAGGCTGAGGGCCATGATCTGAGTGTCCAGCTGCTTGTCTGGACACATAGGGACATATAGGACTGGTAGATCAATGAGCTCGTACTTATGAGGCTGTCTTCTGTGGTGCTTGGCAGCAGACTGAAGCAGCCTTATTGAGGTCTGCACTGTAAACATTCTTCCTGTGTCTCCAGGGCCATTGTTTGAATTAACAATTTCAAACTTTTTAGTGTCAGGAATACTTTATACTTTTAAAATATTGAGAACCAAGAAGTTTATATGTTTCACATCTTTTTTAGTGGCATTTTTACAGAGCTCTTTAATGACTGATTTCAGAGAAGATAGCTGGAGTCTCATTTGTGCTTCTGCATTCAGTGTCTTGCAGTGGGTTTTGGTTGAGGTATATAAGAGAAGTCTGGTCTCACACTGATTGTTGTTGACAAAGGGAAAACTATTTCAATAGTCTTTGCAGGTAGTACAGATTTCTTTGCTGCCTCACCCTCAGTAATTTTGTATAGCATAGTTTCAGCAAGAAATCCGGAACCATCTTAATTAACTTCTATTTTGTTACAATAATGTTACTGTTTTATAATTTTTTTTTTAACAGTACTTGCATTTGAACGCAGGGCTTCATGCTTGATAGCCAGGCACTCCTTTTTTTTTTTTTTTTTTTTTTTTTTTTTGGTGGGTCTGGGATTTGAATTCAGGACTCTGGCAAGTTTTTGTTTGGAAATCATTGAGCTCATAATGACAGATAATGGACCTTACAAAATTTTGGTTTTGCTTAAAAGCTTAAATTTTTTATTGGCAGCAAACACTCAGTTGTTTTCACTGAAGGATTACAGGTTCGGTATATTCATTTTTGTGGAAATGCCTGCCAGATCCTAAACTTGAAGAGCCATGCTTTGTGCATCTGTTTTGCCAAGTAAAATTGGAGGTCTATGAGTAAATGGACCTAGTTCCTTTAGTGCATATTAAGGAAGGACCATGGGAGGTCAAGGAGACTTCTCCCCAGGAAACCCTTCTGCATCTGAAAGGCATCTTTGCCCTCAGGCAATATACAAAGAAAAAGGCTATAAAACCCAATCCCCACCCTGACCCACTGTACCACTGGTTTCTGGGTCCCCCTGCATTCCCCACTATGCAGTCTTTCTCTTCTTTTCTCTTCTCTACAAATAAAATCTTTCTGACCTCTGCTGCTGGAGTCTTCCTGTGCTTTCATTCTCAGAACAGTCTCAAGAACCCTGAACACCTGAAATTCCTGCGAGGTCATCTGTGCATCACACATGTGTGGCGAGGAGCGGTACAATGATGTTTGGCCCACGGCTGCCTGGTTTATGCATTGTTTTTTCGGTACCATCTGGAGAAGAGGCAGCAGCATCTGATTAAGAAAACAGCTTTGGCTTGAACTTCTTGGAAGGAGGGGCCTTCATGTGTAACTTACTGATGAGAGAGAGGCCTGCCTGTCTCAGTCTCAGGCGTGTTGGGGCAAAAAGCCAAACAACAAACTCCCACACTCCAAGCAACTGTTGGTCAATTTAAAATTAGTGTAAGAGCTAGATGCAGTGGCTCACATCTGTAATCCTAGTTGTAGGAGGCAGAGATCATGATTCAAAGCCAGCCAAGGCAAAAAGTTCTCAAGACTCCATCTCAAACAGTTAAAAAAAACCTAAATGGATGTGGTAATGCACTCCTGTCAGCCCAGCTGCTCAGGAAACATAAATAGGAGGATGGAAGTCCAGACCAACCCAAGCATACATTTGAGACCCTTTCTCAAAAATAATGAACATCAAAGGGCTAGGGGTATAACAAGATTAACATAAGACTAGGCACATGATTTCTTGGTATTCCTTCAATGCCAGAGAAACTCCCTGCTAAGGAAGTTTTAAAGGCTGGCAGCAGGTGAGAAGTTTATCGAGTGATTTTCAGAGGTCAGGCTTGCCCTCCTTTACTTGCCCCTACTGAAACACAGTGTCTTTCCCTTTCAGGTGACCCCGAAAGTGTGGCTGGGGAGTATGGCCGGCACTCCCTCTACAAAATGCTTGGCTACTTCAGCCTGGTGGGGCTTCTGCGCCTGCACTCCCTGTTGGGGGATTACTACCAGGCTATCAAGGTGCTGGAGAACATTGAACTGAACAAGAAGGTAATTACCTATTATCGCTGACTCATTTTCCCAGAACCTGAAGTCTCTCTGCTTTAAGAGAAGCTCTGAACTCCTAGGGAGGAAAGAGGACCTTTCCACCAGGCCAGCTCAAAGTTGAGGCTAAACCACTATTTAGCCTATGCAAATCACTGCAGTGAAAATCTGGTCCAGGAGAGTTTGTATGGATAATGACATTTACGTGGTATTCAGCAGTCTTTGTTGTTTTCAAAACAGAATGAGAATGGCAGTCAGCTTTCAGTAGTCTGGAGTTAATGAAAGATTTGTTTCTAAGTTAGTATATCTGGTGGTAACATGATGAGTGTTTTCCCTTCCTCAGCAAAATAAGGACTTTCTATTCAATGTTGACTTGTGTGCATGTGTGTTTCTCTCCTATCTGCCTAAATCTGTATAGGGCTTATTTGAAAAAGACAACATTGAGATGCAGAGGGTTTTAGCACTGAAAAGGTTTCAGGGATTACCTGGTCTGGTCCCTTCATGTTACAGCTAAGAAAGTGAGATCTCCAGGCATGCTACTTAATCAGCAGCCTTCTTGGCTCCTGAGCCAGCTTCCTTGGGAAGCTCAGGGTCTCTGTGGGGCTCCCTGCTTCTGCCTCTGCCACCAGGACCTGCTGACCTTGGAGTCCTACCCAGGATGAATCTGGACTTACCAATACTTCTTTTGCAGAGCATGTATTCCCGTGTGCCAGAGTGCCAGGTCACTACATACTACTATGTTGGTTTTGCATATTTGATGATGCGTCGCTACCAGGATGCTATCCGAGTCTTTGCCAACATCCTCCTGTACATCCAGAGGACCAAAAGCATGTTCCAGAGGACCACATACAAGTATGAGATGGTAAGGAGCCTCTTTCATTGCTATGGCCTTTCTCATTAGCTGACTGGCTCCTTAGCACATATGCCAAGAGTTTCTGGTAAACACCATCCAAATTTTGCTACTCTGCTTTTTTTAAACATGATTTTAAAAATTATATTTATGGATTATAAATGTGTGATAGTTCGATATATGTATATAATATGTAAGGATCAAATCAAGATACTTAGCATTTCTTGTCCTTAAATATTTATTATTTGTGTTGGAAACCTGTAAATTCTCTTGTAATTCTTTATAAAATATAAACTGTTGCAAGGTACCAGTGGCTCACTCCTATAATCCTAGCTATTCAGGAGGTGGAGATCAGGAGGATCACAGTTTGAAGCCAGCCTGGGCAAATAGTTTGTGAGACCATCTCTAAAATATCCAACACAAAAAAGGGCTGGCGGGGTGGTGACTCACATGGAAGAATGCCTGCCTACCAAGTGTGAGGCCCTGAGTTCAAACCTTATACTATATCATCTAATGTTATATGTTATGTATTTTTTTATATATAAATTTATATATATATATATTTCCCCTTCCTGACTTCTAGAGACCACTGTTCTACTCTCTATGTCTATGAAATCAACTAGCTTCCACATAAGAGAACATGTGTCTTTCTGTTCAGTATGGAGCTTTTTGTTTGCTTGGTTTTCATTTTGAAATAACACATTCTAGGCAAGCACTGAACCACTGAGCCCCAGCCCTTCAGGATTTTTTTTGGAAATACTTTGGTTTGAACCCAGAGTCTTGTACTTGGCTAAGCAGATGATCTACCACTTGAGCTGTGCTGACCTGGACTGAGTTCCTCCTAATTGTGCTTCCCACCTAGCTGGGATGACAGCATGGAACATTGTGTCCAGCTATTTATTGGTCGAGATGGGGTCTCTTGAACATTTTGCCTGGGCTGGCCTCAAACTGGCCTTTATTTCTTAAGTAGCTAGAATTATAGGCATGAGCCACTGTGCCTTGCTTAACAGGATTTTTTTTTTTTTCCCCGTGGGACTGTTTTGTTTTTGTTTTGCTTTATTATATAGTTGTACAGTGTGACATTTACAAAAGTGCTTTACAATATGTTGTAGTTAAATTCACCCTCTATCATTTTCTTTTATCCTCCCTCACCCCAATGTGACTGTTTTTTAAACTCAGGACTTCGAGCTTGGAAAGCAAAGCAGGCACTTTACCTCTTGAGCCACACCTCCAGTCCATTTTGCTTTGGTTATTTTGGAGATGGGGGTCTCTGAAACTACTTGCCTGGGCTGTCCTCAAACTTTGATCCTCCCTATCTCGGCCTCCCAAGAAGCTAAGATTGTATGCATGAGCCACCAGTGCCTGGCACAACAGGATTTTTTTTCCCTTTTCCTTTTTTTTGGTGGGACTGGTGTTTGAACTCAGGACTTAATGTTTACAAAGCAGGCAGTCTACCACTTGAGCTACACCTCCAGTCCTACAACCATTTTTAAGTATCTCCACCATTTGTGGAGACACTGCAAGACCACATGGGTAGAGTGGACAGACTCAGCTCCTATTCCATCTCCCTGCTCCAAAAATCAAACAACAGGATTTTTTAATGGCCAGTCTACTCTTAAATGTTCTGCTGTTGTTCCTGTTACCTTAGATCATGTTGGTAAGGGTCATATTTTTGTTTACTTCTCCCCAGCCGTGCCTTCATGTATTCTTTGACAATATGATGAAGGTTCCCTGGGCTGTGGGTGTTTAAAAATGAATTAACCAGTTGCATGAAGCCTTGGGTTCAATCTACAGCACTGCAAAAAAAAAAAAATTATATGCAGATACTGCTGTGAAGCATTTAGACAGAGCAGGTAGCATGAGGAGAGGGTTGGGACTTGAAGATGTGGTGATGCAGCAGTGCCATAGATTGCTTGGGCAGAGGGCAAGTGAGTGGAAATTGTGGTATTAGATTCTTTATTAGCTAGGAAAGATATTCAGCCTTCTGTAAGTGATATCAAAGATTTCTAATAACTTGATCTTGACTGTTGTAAAAGAATTGACCTGCCAGGAATATTTGGAGCCACCTGGAGAGGCTGTGACAAAGGTCTCAGCAAGGATTCCAGAAGGTGACCAAGGAGAACTTGGCACTGGGATGGAGCTCAGTAGAACTAGAGGGAGGATTGGAAGGCATAGGGAGAGTGAGGCACTGGTGTGTGTGAGACAATGAGAAATGGAAGCTCTCTATTCAGAGTACAGTTTGGAGGACAGTGGGGCCACGATGGCTGTGAGGAACTCAGAAAGTCTATTTTATCTGACTCTGTACTGTTCTTCACCTTACCCCCAGATTAACAAGCAGAATGAGCAGATGCATGCACTGCTGGCCATCGCCCTCACCATGTATCCCATGCGGATTGACGAGAGCATCCACCTCCAGCTGCGGGAGAAATACGGGGACAAGATGCTGCGCATGCAGAAGGGTGACCCACAGGTCTATGAAGAACTTTTCAGCTATTCCTGCCCCAAGTTCCTGTCACCTGTCGTGCCCAACTATGACAATGTGCACCCCAACTACCACAAAGAGCCCTTCCTGCAGCAGCTGAAGGTGTTTTCTGACGAAGTTCAGCAGCAGGCCCAGCTTTCTACCATCCGCAGCTTCCTCAAGCTCTACACCACCATGCCTGTGGCCAAGCTGGCCGGCTTCCTGGATCTCACTGAGCAAGAGTTCCGCATCCAGCTTCTTGTCTTCAAACACAAGATGAAGAACCTGGTATGGACCAGCGGCATCTCTGCCCTCGATGGTGAATTCCAGTCAGCCTCCGAAGTTGACTTCTACATCGATAAGGTATTGCTGTCCTTTGGGCTAGCATCTCTGGGCACTCAAAGTGATAAACAATGGATGTTATAATTAAGCGAACCATGTAATAGGTTAGAAGTTTCTAAGTACTAGAGTAAGAGTAGAGGTGGGGAAAGCACAGGTTTCCTGCATAAGGTCATCTGGAAGGCTTTGTTGAGAAAGTGAGGTTTAAGCCAACACTAGAAGATGAGGATGTTATCTGGTAGAAGAGCATTCATTTGGGAGAAGTGAGAGAGCCCTGTGTGCTGAAAGAATGGTGTAGTGTGGCCTAGTGGCCAGAAAGAGGAGCTGTGGGAGGAGATGAAAGAACAGGCGATGTTTTAGAGACAGCTGGAAACACTTTGCAAGTGGAGCCATTATCCTGACTTCTGACACCATAGATTAGTGCTGCTGCCTGAGAATTCTTCAGCATGTGGTTTTTGTGTCTTGGTTGACATTAGCTTTAAGAGGATTATCTTCCTTTGTACTCTGAGTTGTTTTACTCATGGCACAGCATTTCCCTCTGTGCTTGGTTTTGGTGGTGGAGGGGATGCTTGAACTCAGAGCCCTGCGCTTTTGAGGCAGGCACTTTACCATCTGAGCCACTCTGCCAGCCCTATTTTGGTATTGGTTCTTTTTGAGATAGGGACTCAAACTGTTTGCCTCAGGCTGGCTTCAAACCGAGATCCTCCTGAACTTTCCTCCCAAGTAGCTAGGATTACAAGTGTAAGCCACCCCCCCCCCATTCATTGTTCTTGAAAAACTGCTCTTGGCATATTTTGAGGCCTAGGATAAATGACCTCTTTCTCTAGAGGGATTTGCTTTTCTCTCTTAAAGTTGCTTGGGAATGTTACTGATCTGAGGCTTTCATAAACTGAGTTCACAGCCCTAGCTCCCCTGGATCACCCAGAGATAAGCCCAGGCTATAGGATGGCAGGAATCACCTTGTGTTTGTAGCATTTCTTCTGTGTTGGACACACCCCAGTCCCCTTGGCACCTTTACTTGGTGTAGGGACTGGAGTGGCAGTTGGCTCACCATTAACTGGAGAGTAGCCCTTTGGTACCCTGGTGTCAACAAGAGGGTCTTCTGTTAGACTTTCCATCCTCAGTTTGTCCATCAAACCAAGGAGAAGGACAAGACTGGGGTGAGCCCTGTGTGCTGAGAAAATGCTACAGTGTGGCCTAGTGGCCAGAGAGAGGAGCTGTAGCCCTTTGCTCTTTTTTTAGGTCCAAGGAGCTTCAGTGCTTTGCTTAGAATAGTTTTTATTTCATCTTAAGTAGTTCTTTTATTTGCTTGTCCCTGCTTTGATGCTGTAAGATTTAAAAAATAATAATGTATTTTTGATTTGGTTTGGTTTTGTCAGAAAGCATGTTGGTTGGCTGGGCAAGTGGTAACATTCTGCAGTTCTAACTGTCTGGGATGCTGAGTCAGGATGAGCATCTGAGCACAGGAGTTCAAGGCCAGCCTGGGCAACACCATGAGAATTCTGTCTCAAGAAAAGGAAAGGGTTTTGAACCTGTTTCTTTCCTTTCCTGCTTGTTGGTATGGACATGTTACTGGAAGAAGCACTTTTTTTAGTTTTTTTTAAAGTATGAATTTGAATATTTAAATTGCATGACATAAACTTCACCATTTAGAAATGTTTAATTCAGTGATTTTTAGCACATTCAGTGTTGTGCGGCCATCACCAACCTCTAAGTCCAGAGTATTTCCATCCTCCCCCAAAAAGAACTCTCTTATTAACAGTCACTCCCAATTCTTCCTTTTCCTCATCCCCTGGCAAACCGCTAACCTTTCTGTCTCTGGGTTTGCCTATTGACATTTTGTGGAAATGGAATCATATAACATGTGACATTTTATGTTTGGTTTCTGAGGATGTTTCATCCACCTTGTAATATGTATCAACTTCATTCCTTTTTGTAGCCAAATGTTTCCTTTCCATATTTGCTTACTCATTAACTGACATTTGTTTTCACTTTTTGACTAATAAGAATAATGCTCCTGGATGTGGTGACTTACACTTGCCAGACTCCAAGCACTCAGGAGGCTGAGGCAGGAGGATACTCAGGCCAGTCAGGGCTACATAGTGAGCCCTGTGTCAACAACCCCCCTCCAGTGTGTGCACCACCCCCCAAAAAAAAATGATACAGACCCTGATGCAGTATGCTGTGCCTGTTGTCCCAGGTACTTGGGAGGCTGAGGTGGAAAAATGCTACTGTAAATATTTGTGTACAAGTTTTTGTGTGAACATATGTATTTAATTCTCTTGGTTATTATTTTAATTGTGGAATTGCTGGGTCAGTTGGGTAGTTTGGTTCTGAAACCTCATCTTGCTCCAAACTAAATACTTTCATTCAGAGTTTATGGCCTTTGGGACTGGGGGCACATAACTCAGTTGGGAGAGTGCCTGCCTAGCATGCACAAAGCCCTGGGTTCAATCTCTAGTCCAGGGGTGGGGGCCGTGGGGGCGGATCTTAAAAACATGTCAGTAGTAGGATTTGTTCAATGTTTTGACTCCTTTTAAAAATCCAGCAAAACTACCTCTCACCTGCACTGTCGTGTCATTCCCTGCTGTCCTTTTTGAGTTTGTTCTCAATGCTTGACATAGGCAATTTCTTTAGCAACGTCAGTAACCTGCTACATCCCTCTGTCGTATCTAAGTAACCAAGTATAACTAGTCCCAGCTATCTGGCTAGTTTAATAAAATACTCCCAAGAATTAGCAATTTGATTATTACAAGTAAAATCTTGCTATAATAATATGTTGAGGTTAAATTAATACTATGTTCCCGGTTAAAGATCCTACTTCATAATTTTTTTAACCAAAAGTGGTGGCATATGTCTGTAATTCCAGCACTCTGGAGATTCAGGCAGGAAGATTTTGAATCCCAGGCTAGCCTGGGCTGCATAGTAAAACCCTGTCTCAAAAAGAAGAAAAAAAAATACTAATGTGTTTTCATCATTTCTTGCTAACTAATAATGCTCTTCCAGATAGCTCCCTTCCCCAGCTTTGTGTTTGAAAAGCAGAGTAGGGTTTATCTAGCACTTAGCATCATGATTTGCAAATATGTGCCTCCTTGACTAGGTAGCCCTGCCCCTTCCATTTGCTGCCCTTCTCTGACTCTGCTTTTCCCACAGGACATGATTCACATTGCAGACACCAAGGTTGCCAGGCGCTATGGGGATTTCTTTATCCGTCAGATCCACAAATTTGAAGAGGTAAGAGATCAGAGAGAGACTGGTTTATTAGCTGGCGACAGAGATTGGGAAGTGTATATTTTTAAGAAAGCGTGAGATTGGCTCTTTAAGTTTCTGAGCTAGGCTGGCTGGCTGGCTGTTTGAGGCTTGGGGAGTGGGGTTGGGCCTGTAGTTGTTGCTGAGTCAGCCTTCTCTCAGGCTTCTCTTTCCAAGATCTCTCTGTGGGTGGGTGGCCACTCTGCTCTACCTCCTTGGTATTTCCTAATAAGGGTGGATTTGCCGCTGACTGCTCTCGCTGCTGCTGCTGCTCTTACCCTTCCTCCTATCTTCCCACTCGGTGTTTTTCTCCAGTTTAGACGGGTCTAGCAAGTTCCTGCAAGTTGGAGGAAAGGAGGCTCTATTTTGACAGACTTGGTGCATTCCTGTCTTGCCCTAGGAAAAGTCTTGTGAGTCAGGCCAAACAGCACAAGGGTGTGAGTTTCCCTTTGTGGCCTTTGCTGGAGACACTATGTTCTGGTACTTGGAGTCCTCCAGCAGAGGCCAGGCTCTTCCTGCAGGATCATAACAGAGTCAGTGCTCTTTTCTCCTTCTAGCCATCCTGGTCACATCTGTCAGGGAAATGGGCTGGGGCTGTCAGTAAGGAGGAAGCTGAGGCTCAACAGAACTGGCTATACTGAACCCCTTTGCTGTCTCTAAAATAGCCAGAACAGTGTAGAGTGTGGGTTTGTTGAGTCTAATGGGCAGAGAAGCATGTGAACTGTGTGGGTTTTGCACACCTGGTGGGTACCCTTCTTCAGTGATCTTCCCTGCCAGGGATCTAACCCAGTGATTGTGCACACTATTGGGATAGACTTGGAAGACCGCGTATCTAACTTTGCTTTTCTTTCCCTTCTAGCTTAATAGAACCCTGAAGAAGATGGGACAGAGACCCTGAAGGCATTCATAATCACAGTAGTCAGGAACCCGTTTTGACATTGTAGGTGGGAAGTGTTTTTGTCACCGTGAAGCCTTTACTCAAGTCAGCCATTGGCTGAGTTGGAATTCATTTAAATTAAGGACTGAAATGTTTTGAGTAGATTTCAGTAAAGGATCTTTGGAGCCAGATTTGTCATCTCGTTATTACGGGGAGAATCTGTGGATCTGGCAGCAACACCTCCTCTCTCATATGTCCTACTTTGTAGTGCATCCGTTACAGAGTATGAATTGAATTCTTCAATCCCTTGTGTTCACTCTGTAGTTTCTAGGGCATTTTCACATTCCACATCTCATTTGTGCCTCACAAGAATCCCATGAGATTTATGTGACCTGCCATAATTTACATGGCATGTAAGTGGCAATGCTGGGTCCTGGGAACTAACTATTAGACACCTTCTACTGCCAGGAACTGTCCAAAGAGTTCTCCATGACATGCTTAATCCTTACAGTTTGGGTTTAGTAGTATTTCCCCATTTCTTTGATGAGGACATGAACTACCAGGGTAATGAGTGACCTGATTGAGGTCACAGGGGTCAAAAAGCCAAAGGGAGCTGGACTCTGGTGGCTTATGCCTGTAATCTTAGCTACAGAGGAGAGATCATGTTCAAAGCCAGTCCCCAGCAACTAGTTGGCAAAACCCTATCTTGAAAAAACCCATCACAAAAAAAAGAGGACTGGGAGAGTAGCTCAAGGTGTAGGTCCTGAGTTCAAACCCCAGTACTGCAAAAAAAAAGAATCTTAGCAAAAAGCTAAGAGTTGGCACCAAACAACTTTTATCTGACTTCTGCCCAAGTTAGTGTTTATTGCCAGACAGAGGTGGGCCTGCCTATTTATCATGGGGCCTCCTGATGATAGGCAATAGCTAGAGCTTGGCTAAGCACCCCTTCCTTGGGTGTTAATGCTGTACCTGTCACCTAAGGTGGGCACCAGATTGGATCTTGGGATGAAAACAACCTCTGCTTGCAAGTTACAAGTTACTACCTCTGAGCCTGGTATGCTGTGCCAAAGAGGAGGGTCAGAGAACCTGCCCTCTGGGCAGTGGTGAGCAGTGACTGGGATGCTGTCTGGGATGCTCACTGTTTACTTCTTCCACACACTTAGAATTCATAAACTCTTCTGTATCTTCTTTTCCCACTGAATGCTATAGTGGGTTCCCATTGTCGGTCCTCAGGAAGGCAGATCCACAACCTAAACCCTTCGTGGGTCTGGTTTTTTTTTTTTTTTGGCGGTACTGGAGTTTGAACGCAGGGCCTCACATTGGCGAGGCAGGCACTCTACCAGCCATTTTTTGCATTGGATTTTTGAGGTAGGGTCTCATGACCTATTTGCCTGTGCTGGCTTGGAATTGGAATCCTGTTCGCTGCCTCCTGAGTAGCTAGGATTACAGGCATGAGCCACCAGCACCCGGCTCTTCATGCATCTTAAAATGAGATCATTTTGGATTGAGCCAGTGATCCCACATTACAAGAGACTTTGAAGTATCCTTACAAGGAGAGCAAAGAAGGTTGCCATGTAAAGGTAGTAGACACAGGTTACACGGCCATAACTCAGGAATGCTTAGAGTCCCCAGAAGCTGAAGAGACATTCTCCCCTAGGGCTGACTAACATATTTTTCTTTTTTCTTTCTTTTTTGTGGGACTGGGATTTGTGCTTGCAAAGCCTGGGTTTTACTGCTTGAGCCACACCTCCAGTTGACTGCCATTTTGATTTTACAATTTTGGCTTCTAGAAATCTGAGAGAATTTTTGGTTTAAACAACCAAGTTTGTGATAATTTGTTACATAAACCCTAGGAATCTAATGGGTATTGGGGATGTTGTGGGATTTTATGACTAGAAGGCAGTGCTTTTTCCTACAAGCACACCAGCAAGGCACTGCTAGGCAAGGGGAAATGAAGTGGGGAAAAAAAAAAAATCCCTGCCTTGCTTAAATTTTAATGGATGGACAGGTGATAAACCATGTTTGGTGATACGTATTACAGAAAAAAATCAAGGGTAGTGTTACTAGTTTGAATGGGCTGAGTGAGAACACTTACTGGTGCCCCAAGTGGGCAAGGAGGCATACAGTGCAGATACTTGGAGGAAGAGCTTTGCAGGCGAAGGAAACATGCAGAGACCCTGAGGCCAGAGTACGTTTATGTGCTGAGAGAATCAAGAAGAAAGCCAGTAGGAGCAGGTGAGGCTGGAAGACGGGTGAGGTTTGACGATAAGGATTATGACTGAGTATGATGAAGTTGGGAAGTCTTTCCTTGCCAGAGAGATCACAGAATTTGTCTAAGTTCCAGAGTAATAGGGTGGAGTCAGAATTTGAACCCAGCTCAGCCCTGTGCTGGAACACAGCCCCTCAAAGAAAGAAAAAGCAGTTCTTTCTCCCTTAGTGTGTAGTGAGTCCAAATATTTGTAAAACTCTTGGTAATTTTCCAAGTACTCTATCTGTGACCATATTGGTGCCTAATGAGTGGCAGTAAGGATCTTCCAAGCTTTTGACTTCAGGACAGCATAGCCTGTTGTCTACTGCCTGGTTCCCTGGCTCGGGGAGGGTGCTGTGTGCTAACTCCTAAAGAATGTCCAACCACTCGCTGGATTGGGCAAGGCTGGCTCATAAGAATTCATTTACCTGAGCACCTTCCCTCCCCCTCCCCCTTTGTTTTGAATTCAACACCAGAGTTTAGTTCCTGTCAAGATGTCCTTTCTATATCATTACAGTTTTTGCCAGGTCAAAGTATGAGCCTCAGCCCTTTTACTTTGCTTAAAGATAGGCCATTTCAGGAGCCTAGGGTCACACAGACCCAGTGTGTGTGAGCTCCTGGCTCCAGGCCACCTCTCAGCCCAGAGGCTGACTGGGCAGACAGCAGCCCTTGTGTGGGGGGGCAGGCACAGCTGAACTCCGCCTGGTACCACTCTAGGAATGCAGTGCGTTCAGCAGCTGCAGCCAACTCACAGGAGCTGATTCTGTCCTGCCCAGAGTGGGGCAAGCAGGTTCAGAATCCTGCCATGCGTGACCAGGGTTTTATCAGGGAATAAGAAGCCAGGGTGTGCTGGTTACTAGAAGTTGCTGCTTAAGAGCAGGCAGCGTAGAGTGTGTGGGCCTAGTCAAACCTGGATTTGAGCCCTAACTCTGCCACATACTAGTGAGATTGTGACCCAAGTTACTTTACCTCTCAGTGCCTTACATTTCTCATCTAAAGGTGATGGCACCTGCCTCAGGATTAAATTACATAAATCTTAGTACAGCACCTGGTGTGTAATTAGGGAATGAAGGCCATTATTATTAACTGACTGTGACCTTGCCAGAGTTGGATTTTAGAGTCAGAAAGGTCATGTGTGGAACAGCCTGGCATCTTTATGCTGGAGCTGCAGTGACAGAGCAACTGAGGCACTATTGATGAACGGGACCTTGTACACAAAGGCAGCAACAGCAGGTGTGGAGAGAACCTGGAGAATTCAGGAGCGATTGGGAAGTTACAGAGGACAGGCTTTGGATGCTGGGGAAGGAGCAGGAAGGAGGCCGGTTTCCTGGCTTTTGTAGCTGAGCAATGGAGCCACTGAGATGGGGGTGGTGCTGGGGCAGGATTTGAATAAGAGCCCCGTCAGATGGGTAGAGGACTGTGGGGATGGTGTGGAGGTGCCCAGGTGCATGACAATTTGGGGAGAAGCAGTGAGCAGCTGGGACTGGAACTGTGATCTTCAGAATCCCAAGCTAAGAGTTGGCTCCTCAACACACACGGGCCTCTGGTGACCTTGGTACCTTCTTTCCACAGTTTCTCTCCTTCCTCCCCCTCTTCCTCTTACACTGGACTGTGAACCCAGGATGGGGCTTTTCTTCCCAGTACAGCCTCGATCCTAGGTGGTTCATATGCCAAATGAGGCAGTGGGACTAGTTGCTGCCTGAGGGCTGCAGCCCTGTCAATCAGGATTCTGGGTAACATCTGGGTCTGAATAAGCCAGAGTCCTCTGAACATCTGAGAAAAGAAAGACAGCACTTGGTAGCAATGACCCTGGCAGTGAAGAGGTCTTTTTGAATGAAGAATGCTCAAGGAAGCAAGGAATAAGTGAACAAGGATTGAATGAACCAACTGTTGAGTAAGTAGTGGCCTGTGCCTTACATCCTTTCTGGAATGTAGAGGCATAGAATCAATCGTGATGAACAGGTTTATGTACTCTCCAGCACAGCCTATAGTGCCTGCAAACCAAGGCTTTGCCTGCTAGTGGCTGCCCATCTCCAACCCAGCCTGCCCTGCAGACTGGAGACTCCAGAATGTGCTTGTGTGCTTGGGGTCAGGAGCAGGCGTCTGGTGTGGGGGAAGGGATTCAGGAACAGGCTGAGAGGGAGGTAGGGGACTGGCCAATGTCAAGGTCCAAAGTCTGACCAATAATTTCCTGAGGTTTTCTGGAAGGACCTGGGTATAGGAAGCAGCAAAACTCGTCCTGGTGCCTGAAGCTCTGCCTTCCTGTCCAGCCTGCTATGAAAAAAATAGGCTTTTCCTTATTTTTGGCCCCACCCTATCCCTATGCAGGTTCCTCCTTCCTGCTCCCACCCCATCCCCACATCGTCCTCTGGGGCTGGTGGATCCTGAGAGGTGGACTTCTCCCTCTGGACAAGGCTAGGGACCGAAGGGAACTCCTTCAGAGTTTACATCCTGACACTGCCCCATTCCAACTTGGAGACTTCAAGCATTAATTTCACTGAACCTGTCCTATGGAATGGTTCTCTCCCCACCTGGGCCTTTCTTACTATCTACATCTAACACCAGGGAGGGTGCTGTGACTGTGTGGTGTTACTCATATCCACAGTGTAGGGTCCTGTGTCACCTGCAGATGAGGTACACCTTGTCTAACAGTTGCTCTGTTTAGATGAAAAAGTAACTCCCAGAGCTTGGACAGAAAGGTCTCACTTTCTGTTTGTGGCAGGAAGAGCTGATGGCTCACAGTACTGCATAGAGTTAGGTAAATGGGAAGCAAGCAGGCCTTTTCCTGTGTGTGACAGCCCTTTCCTTGTCACTCAGTCCTCCTTCCTATCAGGAAGGCTCAGGAACCATTCCCGTCCTGCCTGCCCTTGACTTCTAGAGGGGCTGGGTTGATTCTTTAGCAGCCCATACCTTCGATTCTGCCTCTGAAGCGAACAGAGCTTG